ACGTACCGAACGATCTGGTCTGTTTATGTCATCGGGGTATGTCAACGCAGCCAGCCGTGTGGGAGGCGTCTTTCCAGAGAGCCTGTAGCAAAAGCCGACAAATGAAGTAGGTTAATTGACATTCTCATGGTCTTTTGCTCATTAAGATCTTCAGGTGGCTCTAGACATAAAACGGTGCCGGCGTGGCAGGTTAATATAAATGTGCAGAACCTATGCAGAGAACCCATGTAGAATAGCCAAGCTTTAGGTACCTAGGTATGTAGCCCAATGCCTAGGTAGTTACAATAGCTAAGCAACACGCATACCTAATCGTAATGATGGCGTATTCACTCGACAAGGCCTCGAAGCCCTAGGCACTCGCTTATTAGGTAGGTATGTAGGAGTCAGAGGGCTGACAATGGTGTAGAATATGAAGCATGGCATCGTCGATCATCATCTCAGGGGTAGAGCTAAGCACTGGCCACGCACATCTGCGGAGGTTCCGAAGAATTGGATAACCCTCAATTAACCAATTATCCCCCGTTCGTACCTGTTGATTCTCGAGGCGTCTTACACACTAACAACCTCCCTAACTTTTTACTGGTTCGAGTTGTAACCTATTTGAGCTCGAGTCTACGCTAGGGCTAGGCGCATCGATTTTAAGATTAACTGAAGATAGAGACACGTCCCGATAGGATTTAGCCTTCAAGGTTGACAATACATAGTACACCTTCAGTGGCCTGCCGATGACGTCGGAGAATAAGAATAAACCCCTGACCCGGGACCGACGGGATCTTCTGGAGTCCGATAATTTAGCACCTTATCAGGCCTTAATATCTTATGATATTTACCCTGCAAGAATACACCGCTAGAGACTCTATTCAACCTACGCATGCGGCTGAAGTGTACGGATCGGTATCCGAACTTCTATCCCGTTAGGGAACAAAGTTACGTTGTGAGTAAATGTAAATGGAAGTCGACGCTTGGTAAGTTATCTGCAACTCGGCTTCTAAAAGCCTTTCCAGCCTTATTCACCAGGGTTAAATATCTCAACCTTGTAAGGTCACCGTTGACCCCGCTTGGGCAAGGAGACAATAGAGGGTTTCTGTGCTTGGTTACTCGTAATGATATATGAACCTCGGCTTAAGTTTTAGTGGATCTATGATTTCGAAGTCATAATAGATTGCCGGTTGACAATACATAGTATGTACTAGTTTCAACAAGAGAAGGAAATTTTAGAATGAGATGCTTTTAGGCTTATTCTGTCAAAACGATAAACGTGTTAAAAGTAGCAAATTGAGGGGGTTGGCGAGCTACCATCTCTTTATACAGAACAGGCTTTGAAGTAACCTAAACTAGATTGCTTATCTGTATCGAATTATAAATATCGGAGTTCCGATATTTAATTATTTCACGTGTACGCATTTACTGCATACGCCGTGTTATCAATGCCCTCCCGGCCTAAAATCGGAACAAAACGATGCATCCCGGATTTGCATGCGGAGCGGTAGACAAGTCTATCCTAAACAGGAAGGCCACCTAAGCTGAGACAGCTTCGAAGCGTCATAGATTTTCGGTGATGAGACCCAGCTGGGTAAGGAAAGCTCACCTTTAACTTAAATACTTAAATTTCAGGTTTGGGTTTAAGTGCATGTATAAAGCTTACCTTATATTGTTTAAGTCTAAGGTAATTGTTCTTGGTTGAAGCCATCGTCGCCGGGATTGTAACTGAGTTGAGACCCCCGCACTGGAAGCGCTATAAAGTAGTTGACTACCTACCTATGCAGTGTCATGACGCGAGATGCAGATCTACACCTTAGATTTGCTCTTAGGCGGCGTATCCCGGTTTGAGAGATCTGCAACTCTAGCACCACCTTCAACCGGTTTCTGTTCTTTTCGATGCCATGTGCACAGCGTAACGAGGTCCACATTCCACATTCCGAAAAGCTCGCAGTGATAACCGGAGATCAGGAGGGATTCTTATCGAAAGTTAGTCATGCGTAAGTGAGGGACACCTAAGCTAGGTAAGTATTGATTGTGCATTGCGCTGCATGAGGTTAAGACATGTAAATGTTCCTGGCTGGTCACGCTTTTATGATCATCTCTTCCTTCTTCCCATCCATGACATTGTGGGGGAGGGGTAATAAGTAAGCAAACCATCTACAACCGTAGCCTCTTATTTTCGGATTTCTACCATACCTAGATTAGGTATGCATGGTGATGGGTAGTATCGTTTCTTTGACTAGGTATAAGCGGTTCGATAACGGCGGCCTGTAGAGGTATTTAAAGTCGATTGGCATACCAGTGTTACCATAGATAGAACGGATAAGCAATGAGGAAGGGATGATAAAAATAAAAAACGAAAAATAAAAATAAAAAACCAGTTCACCGTCTCTTGCCGATTGGTGTACTGTATGCGTGAGGTAGGTAGGTAGGTATATCACATAAGCTTCAAGGCTTGCATTGTTCATAATGCCGCGTAGCCCTGGAAAGTTAGAGGTTCGGCAAACCAATGCGAGATGCAGATATGATCGGCTGTTTACAGCCACCCCGTATTGCTCACTCGAGGAGGGTTGCAGATATAGTGCGATACACTAAGTCGAGTGATACGAGCAATTGAGCAATCACAAGAGATTCCGGCGTAAATAAAGTACGAGGCGTTCTGGAGACTATCCGACTTGAGATTCGGGCATCCGACAGTGTGGGGTGATTTACGCAACTTGGAAGTCTCACGAGATGCTTGGGTCTGAAGTGGTTCCTTTGCGACTTGCCGTCAACACCGAGCAGCACGTACACCTCTCTGGTCTGTGAGCAACTCAACCCGCTTTCATAAAGAGCCATGATCTGGATTGGTCTCCGTGCTGGCATCGCACACCACGTATATAGGTCGCGCAAATCGCTCTTAATGTCCGACCAAATCCTGTTGCAGAAATCGTGAAGCGATAACTATATGGTCTTTGGGCAGTTAAGAGGTTTTGTGTGGGTGCTAACGCGAGCATTGTTGAGCCAAGCCTATCAAGTAAGGAGCTGGTTTTTCTTCGATATCTTTTTTCCTATATTAAAAATAAGGAAAAAAGAAAGTGAGTTTAATGCTGTCAAATTCCAGGATGTCGTTATACCTTGGTTACTGTATACTATATACCTTAGGTAGATAGGCTCGCTAGATAATCCGCAAGTAAAAGTAGAGTGTATCGAGTATCTGAATTTAGGTAGAGGTAAGCAGGTAAAAGAGATAACGCGTGGCGCTGCCGTTAAGCAGGTCCAGTAGAAAACAACCACCGTGCTCATGCATATGCACGGCGAGTGGAAGAAATAAATAAAATGAATAAGCCTCCCAGCTCAGCTCGTGGTTTGTGCGCGGCCGGGAACAGTGGCATTCTCGTATATAAATCCTCATTCTCAGGGGTCTCAGCTCGAGGAAATTCCTACAAATATATATACCTATATATATATATTGTAATTCGAGACGTGCCGCAAAAATAAGTGAGATCCGAAATGAAACAAGAGGGTCTAGGATAAGCGAGGAGTCCTTTCGGTACCGTAGTATCATGAATCCAAGAGGTTAGCAGGATTCGACTGACAACTGCAGTCGGCCAGTCAATATGACGTTATCGATGCCAGTAACAACCTATTTAGGCCTTAATCCACCTTCCCAGTGTGGTAATTGCGGCCAGTAAGTTCGGTGGTTGCTTTATCGTTTGAAACTGCCAACGGATCCAATAAACTGGATCTGCGAGTAACACCACTTGATGTTTGGCTGGCAGCGAGGGCTCGAAGGGCTTAGCTTACATATTTACTGCATAATAGGCGGGCACTTAGGTAAACTAGAACGCCGGCCTCGAAGTTGATAGATTTGGCCGAAACACCTAAGCCCGAAGAGGTAGTCGTTTCTGTACTACGTATACATTTTATAGGTACCCTACATATTTACACGGTCTGTACACGGTCTTCACGTATCTTGTATCTTGAATTTGAAGCTTCCGTCAACCCTCATTCGCTATTCCCTGGATTCCTCTTCAAAGCCTACCGCGTATTAGTTTTTTTTTCATTCCAAGTTCATCTGTTCCCAACTTTTACTTCCTCCCTCTTCTTCTTTTTGTTTCCCCTGTCAACGATAGATTCGACCCTATTCTATTTTACTCTGTTCTAACATTATTTCTATTCCAAATCATTCGTTGCTTGAAGTATTGAAGTCTTGAAGTCTAATACGGCAGCTTCCGATCGCTTTTCCCTTCGCTCGTTTCACAGGGACCCCCATACATTCTTCGTTGTGGCCGTGGCTCACCGTACCCCTGCTCTCATACTCACATACTCACATACTACATACATACATACATACATACATACATACATATGACCTACGATCTACCTACACTCGCTATCTATTCATCGATACATGCCACACACTCACTAGGTATTTATATGCGTACATAGGGACTTCCACTCTCAAGTTACATACTTAGTCCAAGCAAACTGATTGCATTCGGAATTTACAGCGCACAGCCGCTCCGCATATCAAACCGACCTTTTTTGTCCTTTGTCTCTCTCGGCTGCGTGTGGCAGAGTTGGACTGAAAAAGAAACAAACCACTCACCTTGACATCTACACTACCAAATCTACTATTCTATTTACTGTTCTATCTACTATTCTATCTATTTCTTCCCCGGTCCCAATACCCCAATACAGGCCACAGGCCTTTGACGTTTAATCCACTCGTCAACCCCGATCGGCCGTGGACTTGGCATCTGCGACCTGCAACTGCAGTGCTCACGTATCCCAGGCCATCCCAGCAGCTGCTCAGTGATCCTAGCTTTCTCGGCCGCTACGTACCCAAAATCCGTTCCTTCCACCCATAACCCCTGTCTCTAACTTTGTCTACCTGCCCTGCTTCGTACCCTGCTAGCCTGCCATCCACACAACACCACCCACCAAAGGCCACCACAGTGTGTGCACCACTACCTTTAAGGCCTATCTATTCCTTCCATCTCTTCTCCGTCCGCTCGCTCGCTCGCATTTTTCCTCTTTCCTGAGACTTGGTCCGCATTGTACCGTGAGCCGTGCCTTCTTCCCGCCTCTCTTCTGAAGGCATCACAGCTCCACGATCACGTTGGCATTTAGTATTTGGCATTTCTGTTACAGATTTGCCTTGCCAACCAGTGACCCTCCGGCAAATCCGCTTGCCTCAATTGAGAACTGCTTGGCTTGTCATGGCAATACTCGCGAGCAACTCTTTCGGTTGCCTGTGACACTCTTGCTGTGAAATATCGGATTGCTTGACTGGCTATCCAAACTACGTTCGTTCGCTGGTGAGTCGACTTCCTTGTCTCTTCGTTGTGATTGAGATTTGGTGATGGTTGAATTACATCTTAACCTTTATCATGCCTGCTAACAATAATTCTAATCAGACCTCAAACATTGGATACCCTCGAACCATGCCTTTCACCACCCGATCCGTGGCTCTTATGAGCCTTGTGGCCTTCTTTAGCAAACTTGGCCATGCCCAGTCCATTCCTATGGCTTATTGCGCAAGCATCAACACAGCATCAACAGCAGGCAGTATGTTTCCGGATGCATCTAACAAAGTATATTTTATAATTAGACTAATCTTTCCGAAGACAGCAGTATATACCAATCTGATGGACTATGCCACGACTTCTGCTCAGCTACCTCAGCTTTTGCTATCGTTAAAGATGATGAGTGCTGGTGTAGTGATTATGTACCCGACAAGGCAACGCAGGTAGATACCGGCAAGTGTGATTCGGGATGCCCTGGCTTCCCGTCTGATACGTGCGGAGGTGATGGACTATGGGGATATATATCTCTAGATCATAAGCCTTCGGGCACCAAGGCTGCCGGCTCCGCCTCTTCTACTAAACCGTCAACTCCTGTAAGTCACCCAGTTTTGTTTTTCATCTAAGGAATCAGTACCTCTTCGAATTCATATCGTCTGGGTTCTCATTTCTTCGCCGTGTCTTCGGTACAGTTGCTCGTTGTCGAGCTTGGGAGGAATATTTTATTAAGACTTAGTCCGGCATCAGGAACCTACCACAAGGACTTTACAAAACACGGTCACTGTTACTCCAACAGTTCGCGCGACCACGGCCGTTCCTGTATGCTCTTACTAATCCTAGATCCTTGCTTTTCATTTTATAAAACTACTTTCTCTGTTGAAAATATTGTACTCATTGATAGTAGGACACATCGAAATCAACGGGAGATAGCTCTACAGCACCCACTACTCCGAGCGTATCTACAGTTACAGCGGGGGGTATTGTGCAGACAGTTACTATAATGCCCACAGCTACAGATAACCCCAACGCCGTGACTTCACCGGATGCTAGCCCAAGTGAAGTGCCATCGAATCAGCACGGGCTCTCAACTGGTGCCGCAGTTGGCGTGGCAATTGGTGTGTTTGCTGCCGTAGGCTTGGCTATAGGTGCTGCCCTTTTCTTCTGGCTCCGCCGCAGAAGGCAAGACCAAGGTGATGCTTTTGCAGACTCCCCTGGAAGTCAGCGTGGAAGTTCAGCAGGTATGATGAGCACGCCAACAACCGCAATGGCCTCGGTATGGGATGGCGATACCGCATCAGGAGGTCGGAGAAATAGTCGATTCATGCCGCATGATCCTCGCATGGACCCATTTGCAGCAAATATCTACAGCCGCGAGAATAAGAGCCGCGAGAGCATTAACACTCTTCAAGACAACCACGATTATTCGCGAAAAGTGCTTCGAACCACGAATCCTGACCCGCCCGATGGCGAATAAGACGGCATGGTCTAATTTATATGGATGGATTGGGAAGCCGCCTCAAAAACGGCTGATGACGCACACGATCTCTTTCTGGTCGGGTTCACAATTGGACCATTGCATTGCATTTTCGAGATACCAGGCCGGCGTTTTCAGGAGAATGAGATTCTAGGACAAAGTCAAGGGGTTTTACGCACACATATACTTGGCATCGTAGTGAACGATGACACATTCTATTCGATATGGATTTCATTCTCTGGCTCGGTATATGAATATCCACCGCAAGGGGAGAAGGGTAGTTCGCGGCAATTGCGATAATTAGACCGACACGTACGACAAATAAGCGCCCAGATGGATTTTGCTGGATCTCTGGACTCGATTGTAGGAGATGTGAATGGGTGGCAGACAGTATGGGATTAAGGGGATGACACTCGTAGTAAGGACGTACCGGCAGTACATACAGGAATAATAAAAGGTCAATAAGCAATTGCCAATGGTTAATAGTTAGAAGGTTCAATTAGAGCTACTCAAGGATGAGTAAGCTGGTCATATTTGGGAGTCAATATAAGAGATGGTGTAGCCTATATTCGCGTAACCTTATTTTGCTGTGTGATGAGCGCCTAGTGCTTCGTAGATAATAATCACCAGGCACATCTACCTAATTGGGATTGACTCCAGGCTAGTACCTGGCATTAGTCAGGATACATGCCTATGGAGGTAACTACTATAAGTAGTCCGGGTGATCCGGCTTATAAGACAAGATACTGTACAAGTAACGACACAAAGTACAGATAAGCTAAGCTCTCGATCCAGGTATGTAATGAATTGTTCAATTATGCACTAATCCAGGGGTAATGCCTTTTTCCATTAGACGAAAAAAAATTGATGTATGAATGCACTAATAGCGTACACGTCGGCACATCTAAATGAGGATTATCGGCCCAGCCATAGGCCATAGGCCACTTACATCATCATGACGGGCGCCCGCTCAACGGTCCAATATAAAATAATAACGCTCAACTCATATTGGGTTCGATCGCTGGTTTGCAGTATAAATGGAGAAAACTAGCCAAGTCAGAGATGTATTTACCCCTCAGGCTGTCAGGTTACAGAGATAATGCAGAGCACCTAACGTAGGTGATCCAAAAAGACATCAAAAACAATCAAGGTCAATCCGAGGTTTTGGCTTATCCATATTACTACCTCCTATATATTAGGTACAGGTACCTGTCATGAGAGAACCTCTTACCACACAGTACCTAGGTCTTCCTCCGTAAATTACATAGGTAGGTAGGTACCTATGTATTGTTAGTAGGTATGCAGCACTGACCCCTGCGACCCTGGTCCAAGGACCAGCCGCCTCAAACATTGGCATCCTGTTGGCGCGCGGCATTGCATGCCGATCAGAATCGATAATCACAGCAACATCGGCTCTAGAAGGTTTCTACTCTTTGATAGGTCTCATCATCTATCATGGGATCTAATTGCATCTGCAACACGTGGACATGTATGGGGTATGAGCCAGAACTACTATATTAGAATAAGGGAATACCCGTAAGGAATGTCAACACATAACTTGTGCACTGCGTTGATTTTGGGTCTGCCCCATAATTGTGATGAAGATTACATACATAATAGCATGAGTTGTCCTCTTGTCGGCCGAGATGCGTCTAGTTGCTCGAGCAAACCCGATGGTGACCGTGCGGCGTGATGTATCCAGCCCTATCCTTAAATATCTATGAGCGGTAGTAAGCTATGCCCCAGTAACACTAAAGCCAGAAATCGGCTCAGGAGGTTATGTGACGAAGAGAACACTTTGCGACGCGAGGAACGGCCTGGTGGCAAACGACAAGACAAGTCAGAGTTCGGTATTTTCCACTTCCGGAGCTGTTAATATGAAAAAGGATGACGACGCTTCAAACAGGAGAATTCGGTGTGTTCAGCCACCCCCTTAAAAGCATCAAAGCTTCAGATGTCGAGACCCTTATTTTAAGAATACGAGACTAATATACAAATTATACAAGACAACCTAATAAAACATCATCTTGGTTATGTCTTTGAAGACTTTGACGCTGTCTGTGCCTTTGGTCTCGGATTGCAGAATACATACTTAGGGTGGCTCTGCCTACATGTTGTGTGGCTCGTTCTTAGGAGGTCGGTTAATGTTGCCGAATAGATTGCTAATTAATCTTACCCAAACCACGTCTCAGTCAACTTTCTACTAAGTCCGAAGCTCCAGACAGCACCCCTTTAAAGGACCGTTATCCTAAGTCGCTTAACAAATTCATCTTCCTCTTACGAATCTATAAAGATGTCAATTATCACAAGTAGGACCCGGAAGGTATGGGAATAGCGAGGTTGTTCCGCAGTGAATTCTAGATCTAAACTACGGAAGCTAGTGGTTATGCATACAGAGCATTGTTTATTCTAGATGCGACTCGGATATCTCGTCTAGAATCCCAATACTAAGACTAAGAAGGGGTTGAGAATTATATCTTGCGCTCCCTTATACTTGTTAAGGCCAGGCAGAATAACGGTGCTTTCCATGATGTGTCTCAGCAGGACATATGTTCTAGTATAACGCAATTACTATTAGGGTCTTTAGGATCGTATTTTATATCTTCCAGTAAGGGTAAGCATTACGAAAAGGGGCTACATACCACTACCTACCTGCTTAATAATGACCTCCTTTCACTCTCACTATACTTCCCTATGTTAGGAACGATGACATCGATACAACCAATAGGAGTGATACTCTAACTTACTGTGGATAGTTATTGCATTTTTCACTGCAAATCACCACGGCTAACTGTGCCTTTTAACCCATTAAGCGTATCATTGTAGAGAAGAACTACTCTTTCTATGATGATGAGCTATAACCCTAAGTGATAGCTGGTTCTCATATGTTGGCAAGTAAAGTCATTGTTATGAATAAGATACAGGCCTAGGAATTTTAGAACCTCCAAATATTGAATACTCGGACCATGAGATGGTAGGCTAGTATCGAGCCAGATGTTGCTGCGAGATCAAGGCTTATCATATCTTATTCTGCCTTGCGTAACGTTTGAAACCAGTGAAATCTCGTGTAGATTTATTGTCATCCTTATATGCGTTATCCATAGCAACCAGGCGAGTTGCATTCAGCAAGAAATAGGGGTAGGACCCGGGACATGATAGGAAGTGGGAACAGAATTGATATCGAACAGAATTCCTGGTTCAGTAGCCTACATAATAAAAGTCAGCACACAGCGTTTTCTACAGACTTCCATATTTCTATTAGGAGTGAAGCTTACAGAATAAGCACCGGGAAACGACACTCCCGAGAAAGTTTTAGTACCGCCACCGGAGACATGAATTTGTGCACATCCCAGGTAGAACTGTGCGCCGCCTACTTTTTGCGAGTTGTGCAGCGCAATATGCTCTACCCGGAGAAGATAATCACCTTCGGCCAGGCAAGGAGGGATGGTAACCGAGACCTCATTCTTGCCCCAGTTAGGCCACTCAGGCCAACTCCTGGTGAATTTCGGATCGTCGTTAAAAATTTTGAACCAGACGTCCCCGTCACCCGCAAAGGTTTTGGCAGTCTCTCCTTCCGGAACCTTCGCCATGTAGAACTGAAGAGGTCCGGGATGTGTAACGTTACCGTCTACCCGGAAGCCCACCGCATCACCAGCCTTGACGGACATAGTTTCAGGGCTCCCTTTGCCTGGTTCAAGCTCAAAACATCTGAGGTCGGTCGCTGAGACGTTGAAAAGCGGGCCATGGTCATGAACGTCGAAGTTGGTGGTTTTGCGGACATAACTACAGAAGAGCCAATGATCCCTTAGCTCTGATCTACTCATAGGACGGGGCCAGCTTGCGTCCAGTCCTCCTCAGTGACACCATTGTAGATAAGACCAGGGAATGTGTCTGCTTAGAGTTAGCGAAGACCTCACAACGAGGAAGCTAGAGATATACAATGAGCATGCACAACTGAGACGAGTGCAAGGGCTGCAACACCAGTGGCCCTCATGGTGAACAGTGATTGGAGTATCAGCCTTCTAAACGGGCTTCTTATTTTATATGCACAGGCAGGGAGACCTGGTCCGCCTAACATGAGAGTTCCTCATAACTACGCGATAGAAAAGGGTTGTCCATTGTCCATTATATAGACATTTCAACAGCCAAGGCCAGCTAGATGTTACGATGTAACGAAAAGGAGAATACGAGATCCGAAGTGACCCACAGCGCGCGTAACGTTGGTATTGGAATAGTAAATCCTTGTTATAAAGTCGAAGGATGGTCAAATTCAGTCTAATACGATATAACCAACAAATTCATGTTGAAGCAGCCCATGCAAAAGCAACATTACTTACATAATTCCAAAGTAAACGATATAATCTCATAAATATCTTCACATATATTAAGAGGTAGGTACCTAGGTAACTCTAAAATATATCTACCATGCAATGTTGTGGAAATAATAGCAGGAAATATGCTATAATGTACGCATATAGCCAACATACGAATATTTACATAGCTTTAGCCGTATAGCCGCACCAATCAACATCTCAGTCTTCACCACCCAAGCTTCAACAAATAGCTTATTTAGACTTATGTTAGTCGTCAGGGAATGTAGTATACGGAGAGCCTCAAATACATTCATGTGGATGTTCTAACTTGAAGGCATTGGTGAATATCACTTGGTTAAGGCTTTACCTTATGTTCTTTCTCGAAACACTTTCTTCCTGTAATTAGGTGTCGTCTTGGTATAATGATAATCAGATATAGCAGGCTGTGGCCCTTTGATTTCATCATCACACAGGGCTATGTTTTGTTATTTTTGTTGTCTAGCAGTCCTCTTAACACGCATGTTCTTGCCTTTCACTCCTTGACACTGTCGTCAGTGGCCCTGTGACTGTAATATTAAGGAATTAGTGACCTTTAGCACAACTTCTCACGATCTCCCGCGGCAACAGGCCTTCCACCATCAGAGCCTGGGCCACTTGGAGACTTGCTGCATTGTATTTCACCTCTGGTCCTTCCTTCTTACCTCATACGAGTCATAGATACCTCAAGACACAACTTCCTTTCTGCTCTGTAATATTTTGCGTACTGGATGTGCGGGTCTATGGTTTCTTTCTTTAGTTGATTTTAACCATCCCCAAGCTTCACAACCCTCTTCATTGATCAACATCACAGGGAAGTTTCAACAGGCGAACGACGTCCAGTCGATGACAATACAACAATGGCATCCGGATCCACCACTATGTCTCGAGCTCGCCTTTATTTGACAGATCCAGGCGGGCCTAAAGGCAGCGATGTAGAAGATCCCATGGAGGAGGAGTCTCCATGCCAACTTTCCATCGAGCGGCTATTCGAGAATTTGCCAAATCCAACATCCAACGATAGATACGGAGATCAGGAACAAGATCGCCAGTACAAGAGAGCTCTCAGGCTTTTCCTAGAAGAAGAAACTGGTCCGGCTGAGCATGACAACGAGTGCAAACAACTCAAGTCCGTTGCTAGCAAGGTGTTGAAAAGCAAAAACGTCCACGGTGTTCGTGTCGCGTTTATCGACGGTATTGCACCTATGATTATCGACTTGTCGAAATACGATGCCGAATCAGCCAAGTCACGATATCTTGCACATTGCAAGTGGATATTGCAGGGAAGGAAAGATCATGATGCTTACGACGGGAACTTATCGGATCCGGATCCAGATGAAGACAGCGATGTTGAATATAGTCAACTCCCTAAGCAGCTCACCACCCAGACAAAATGTGCTTATTGCCACCGTGAAGGACGCCAATTCTGTTGCATAGACTGCGTAGTGATAACCAGTTCTCGCGAGACCATCGGGACTGGCTACTGTCGTAGGAGGTGCGAAGTGCTCGACAAGGACGACCATAGGCTTATCTGTTTTTGGCGCCAGCGTTTTGCGCGAAGTGTGCGCCTCATGCAGACTATTCTCTTGACTATGGAATATCATCAGACTACCCTCTCCCTAGAGGGCTCTTACGAACGCGACGGCATGATATTCTTGAAAGAGAAGTCTCGCCACTTCAGGGCCATGTCAGGAGAGACGGTCACCTGCGAATTCAACGACCAGTTCGTAGAGGAGAGACACCAAAAGGCGGCCCTACAAGATCAATATCTCCCGGACTTGCCCTTCATGATGTTGAGTTCGACTCAGGAATGGCTTTGGAAAGGTAAGCTTTATTTCCTCTTACACACCCACCGGCGGGCGCTAATTATGGATAGGTCTCATCGAGAACATTGAGCAGTACACCATCTTGGTCAAGAATGCTCATCGTCCTATTGTCCGTCATACTATACACAATACCATCGAGTCCAGCATGCTGCGCCCTCATACCGTCTTTTGCGTCACTCTACGTAGTGGAGAAAAGTTTGCGGTGGATTACGCGGGAGCCCGATTCGGCTGGGTTGAAACTCTTTCCCATTGGGAACACTTTGCGGCGCATCGACTGAAGCGAGTTATTAGGAGAAGCTTCCCGGGAGCTTGGGAGCGGGATCCCGCAACGATGATACCGGCTTACCTCCCCGAGAAAAAGAAGGCTTACCTGCATACTATATTCCTACGTATGGCCCTGTCCGAAACGCACCGGTTCCTACAGTTAGAATATCCAGACATATCTTTCGACACTGCCCTCAGCGTATTGATTACTGATTCAGTCTGGAAAGGGGTCGCGTCGAATCTCGTAGAAAATACCCTAACCATCTTCGACGAGGGAAACATGAGGGAATTGATCGTGCAATGTGACATTAAGGCCCGAACTTACCTCAATGACAATTTTGAGGAATGGGTCGAGAGCCACGACAAAGATCGCGAACGTCTCCAGAATGTCTGGTTCAACGAGAACCAGCTCACGTGGATTAAGACTCATATCCCAGACAACATGGAAGCCTTGAAGAAGGTATGGAATGATTGGATTTCTAGCCGCGGTGTTCATTTCAAGGATACCGTGCCTTCTCCTATGGAGATTGAGAACGGTGCTACAGTTTTTGAGGGATAGTTCAAGGGGTAGTGTACGTTCGGGCCGTTATGTTTCGAAGTTATGGATCCAGGGGAGAGGCGACATAATGATAATTCTGTATAGGTAGGTAAATACCTGGATACTTAAGGTCAGGTAACCACCTTGGCATAGGAGATAGTCGGTTTTCCTCTTCGTTGCACGGCTGTAGTTGTCAGTCTCGGAGTAATTGGCGGTTGTAATATGTGTACTACAGAACATGGCATCATGGAGTTCTTACTAGCTTAATAGCTTTGACTGAATGATCAATCACAATTACATATGTGCATTAAAGGAAAACTATAGTGCTAGGTTGATCCAAAGGAACAACTACGCAAAATAATAGTCGACCTTCGTTTCTAAGTATGATATCTGATATCTTCGTGACGCCTGATATACGAGATTAAATTGTATACGCTTATAATATTTAATATTAAAGCAAGAAAGAACTATTTCTTTGCCCTAATCTAAAACCAGGGAATCTTAGAGCTATGGGGTTGAGCGTGTGTTAAGGTGAGTGCTGTTATCGAAAATGATATTTACGCCGTTACGGTGTCTTCCATCACTCAACACCAACTCCCACAAGGCTATTTGCCTTCTTCTCCTCATTGCCATCTTGCACTGCATGCCAATATAGTAGATGCATCTCTCATCATCAACACTACATGGTTTCTAACATATTAATAACTATATGATCAAAAACTTGATTAGCATTTATCATCGTCTAAGGGGCCTTTTCTAGATTCTAGATTCCAGATTCTAGATTCCAGATTCTAGAATACATGTACTGCTCAACGATCTCGGACTCGGGTATTATAGCTTAAACGCGGCTGAAGTCAGTTAGGCTTCGATACTATCAGGGGTCCCAATTCGGATATTGTTGGGTTTTGGCTGGGCAAGATTCCATCTCCGAAACTGGGGTAAACAATCAGAATCTTGATTATAACAAGCTTGAAAATGCGAGTCAGAATAACTACCTAACCAATGATATATGATCACATGCAACTGTACGGTTCCCCCCACAACGCACGATGCAATGCACGATCCTAAGTGATAATAAATATAATCAAAGTGTACCTTCACCTAGGTATTTTTAATCACTGCTATGATTAAAGACTACTGTAGGAAGTAGCCTTTGATCTTGGTTATGATTAAATACGCCTTCCTCTACGTTGGCACATCCGTCTTGCTCGAATCAATTGGGCACTCATAGCTTAGAACCGAGAAGCAAACCAAGCATGCACTCTAGTTCAAGTGTGATATTGCTGCCCATTTAAATTGACACGAAGAACATAGATAGACCTTTTAAATCCCATCGATTGTGTAGATCTACGTGAAGATGCTTTTCAATAAACAAAGCCCAGTTTTGATTGATTAGTTACTAGTTATATGATATATCCCTAATACTAGGTATTACCTAGCGACACGAGACGAATGCCATGAGCCCCATAGAGAAAGTAAGCCCAAAAGCAATTATATGGTATTGTGTAAGTCACCTACCTAGAGAGTGACCAGATAATAATAATTCCTTTGGGTTACTAGGTATTAACTACCTACCTATTAACTAATCCTCATCAGTGCAATTGCTCATATGGGGGGATGTCCCTAGAGATCAATCCAGAATGCGTAGGTTGCGGGCAAAAAAGATGCAGCAACTGCGAGGGAGAAAAGGATCCTTTATACCAAAAACCCCCCAAAATCAAGAGGGGCATGAATGGTGAGGCTCCCCATGATAGCCGCCATGGATCTAAGGTGTTACATGGGTTACATGGCTATAAGCCCCATAGAGCCTCAATCATCAACAGAGCCGCACCGCTACAATTGTCCCCTACCGAGGGTGCCCCGGAGAGCAATGCTAAGTTAGCGTCTCTAACTCATTCGACACAGGATAAGACCAACCTAATTAGTAGATTTCAACAAGATGCCCAAGATATCCAAGATATCAGTGGGTTGGGACCGGAGACTTGTGTTGGAGAGTGTACACCCCGCAGCAATCAAGAGGACGAAGAGGACGTCTCTGAATTAACGGCATTTGACGTGGTCCCGGATACGAACGGGGACACGAATCTCCTCTTCGACTCAGTATTATATCCTGATTCTGAGGGCCACGCGAGTGCGTTCAGTTGGTCACAATGCGAATTGGAAAACGTAGAAGCTTTTGATCCCGGCGGAATTGATCTACTCGATGGATTGAATTTAGATCTAGCTCTAGATTCTTTCGATCCTTTAGATCCATTCTCTAAACCTACGAATTCCCTTGAGCCTCAAATACCAGCATTTATCTCCCCTCCTGACATCAATACAATTAATCCTGCGCATTTCCATGATGCCTTCCCCTTTGCGGCTCCGTGGACAAGACATACTATCCAATCCCCCGAATTACACATGCCATTCTTTACATACGAACAGCCCTTCCATTTACCTATAGACCCGTTTTCTAAACCTACCCGTCAATTTCAAGACATGGAGTCATTAATAGACCAAAAGGAAGAATTGCCTCATCCCCAAAGCCCTTTGCATCGCAACAGTGACAATTGTCAGCCGAGCATCAATAAGAGAAAGTTCTACCAGGAAGATCGGGAAGATAGACCTGCCCACAAGGCTTTTAGAGCATGCTCGTCATGCTCGTCAATAGCCAGCAGCGATGAAAATAGGCCTCTTGCCTGTCTTTTCTACAAGCGTGATCCGGCGCGACATGCAAACTGCATCAAAAAGAAGTTCAAAAACATCAGCGCTCTAAGGCAGCATTTAGACAACGAGCATAAATTAGGCGTTTATCACTGCAAAAGCTGCTGGGATTCCTTCGCTGATCAAAAGTCCCTCGATGCGCATGCCGCATGCGAACCAACAAACGGTAGTTCTGTTGACCAGCTTCCTCCCATCCCTAAGGCCAGAGGTCCCAACCCTAACGCCACGTTCAATAATAAGTGGTTTTGGACTTGGAAGAAGCTTTTTGGGGAAAAGACTGCTCTACCAGATTGCCCCTATTCGCACCCTACTCGGGACATGGCAGGCCATCTATTCAGCCAGCTTCTCCGAGACCTCACGACTCAGGGGATGGAGCTAGATATCCGCGGGTTTGAAGAAGCAATGTCACAATGGCTGGCATCCTACTCGGAGCCTTCGAACGAATACCCGTTAATGGATATACCCAACGTATCCAACGCAGCTCAGAAACCGTAGGCACAATTCCTTTCGATTCTGGGCACTCAAGTGGTTTCTATGAATTTCGATGGCCGGGCTTCCAGATTCGAGCCCTACTTAACAGGACGGTCCATCGCTTATCCGGATACTTGCCTACCCGACGCAATAGAGGGACAACTCTTACTCTCTCGCTCATACGGAAACTTTAGGTACCTATCTATACAACAACAATGACAGGGGTGACAGTACCTAATGGAGGAAACTGAGGGGTTTTGGCGTTATCCTTTAAGCTGCTCATGATTTTACTAAATCACAGCAAATGCCACATACCTAGATAGAGGTGCCTATAACTTTTCTTTGTTGTGGATCTACTTTGACTTGACTGATAAGGAGTACATTTATATGTTTAGAACGGAATGAGCAATGTCTAGGTTACTATGGGTGTTTGCGATCATATACAGAATGCTAGGTAGTTAAAGGAGCACTTGTATTGCACGACAGGACACTTTATACACCAACAATTACTCATGTCATAGTATTATTGTGTTACTCTTTGAGATTTGTATCATAAGCAAGTGGTTTACAGATAAATTGTCTTCCTCATGGAATAGTTACATGTAGAACCATAAGAAATGAATGCCTTGTGACATGCTTGAAGGATCAATGCGTTCATTAATATATCATGCCTAGTAGTTTCAACACACTTAGAAGTTCGGTCTGGACTTCTGGACATTGAAAATCCCAACGTAGATATGGTTGCGGCGGCCCCATATACGATGTGCAGACGTGGCACAGCAAAGATAAATTTAAGCTTCCGTCGGAAAATTAACCATTCACAACCTCTTATCTCGATGGCATCTCCGGGGTAAGAGATGAATGTCTTCATTACCTGCCCGCTTCGGCAGTACCATAGTTGCGCTGGCTGAGGAAAGATAAATACGTTGAAACGGCAGCTGTTGCCATTATTCGGTTCTCGGTTCTACCTAAGCATTTATAAGCATTCAGCTCGTGGTTTTGGTTGATCTGGTATCACATGTTTCTAACACGAACCATAAGGGAGAAGGTACTCTTTATTGGCGTATTGAGTATAAAAGCCTAGCCTAGGACCTTCATAATGTCCCTTAGACACTCGCGCTTCACAACATCTACGTTCAAGTTTAAACTCATTCTATTCTGATCCCCAAACCGAATACAAGCAAAAGACAACCAAAGCCTCTATTGCTGAACAAGTCGAGCCCATCATGCGTTTCACTATTGCAGTCGTCGCAACAATCATCGGCCTTGCTGCCGCCAATCCCATTTTCTCCGGCAACCTCGAGACTAGGCAATCTTCAGAGTACGTTTGAATTTTCAGATAATTCGCTTTTCATATACTTTCTATCGACTTTGGACGGATATCTCTTAGCCCTTGTCGCTGTTTTATCTAGCCGACTTCTATTACTCCTTTCCACATCACCGCAGTGAACTACCTACCTGGAGAATAGGGGGTTTCTACATACTTCCGTGAAGACTAAGGATGATTATGTCTGCTAACTATTTGTAATTATTTAAGTGTGTGCGGGGCACGTTTTTATCAGAAAGAAACATGTGATGCGGATTGCCCTGGCACATGTGTTTCCGACTATTACTGGGTTTGCGTTTGTGGCAATTAGAGCACTTAGATGCCGAGCGAGGATTGAAGCACTCGGGGATACTTATCTGGTAGACTATTCTGAACGAATCTACGACCTCTATTTCGAGTCTTATTATATTCATGTTGGCATATTGTGTAGTTGCAGGCGGGATCTATAGGTGGCATTTTAACAGCTAGACAACCACGTACATGGAATATATAGACTCCAGCCCCTTTCTATAGAATGCTGTGGTTGTGAGATTAGCTAACAGCAATATTAATATTTACAGCAATATTTAATTCGAAGATGAGATTTAAGATTATTTCGGATATAAGCACTTACCTAGGTACCTGCCTGAGCTTGTTTAAACTTAATCTTTATCAGATCTGAGTATGGAGAAGATTGAATTATGTCGATACGACGTGCATTTGATATCCAAGTCCCTTGGTCCCTACGGAATTTACATATTGACTAGTGGCTTAGCTGCAGAAACCGTCAGATTTAGCGCTAAGAACCCGCTCCTTTTGCCGTTCTACCGGCTCGGCTTGACCAGTGACAACGACCTAACCAATAATGAATAGTACCTACTGTATTGTACCTAGGTACCTAGACCCCGCTATGCGACATCCATGTGCATCACCGTAGTACCTACTTACGTATTCCTTTTCCTTGGCGTAGCCAATTCCCCGTTTGCTCGAAGTGGTACGTATTCCCGGTATTTGGCCTTGGCCTGTAATTTCAAAACCTTCACGAATTCGCAGATCCCATGCAACTACCAACGGGGCTGAGCATCTCTTTTTCTTTGTCTCTACCCAACACTGGAAACCCATCCATTTTTCCGGTTACTTCTTCGTCGACACGACGTGTACAACACTCCCTCAATTTCATATCTCACATCGCCAGAACATTTCACCCGCCGGCCGGACGCGACAGTTCTTTAGTAAAATAAACTCGCGAAGCCGCTCATTTCCCCTACTTTCCCCCTGTTTCCGCTTCTGGTCTCAACGACACGCACAGCCACCCGAAATCCTTTTTTCCCAACATCGATACGCCGCGTCAATCACGAAATTCCCCGGAAATATAATTATAATTTACTTATCAGGTAGCCTCGTAGCCTCTAATCAATTTAATACCGGCGGAGGACGAGACTTTTCCAGGGTTGGATCGTTGGATCGTTGGATCGAACAGCGACTGCGCTTTACCTTTACCTTCTAGTCTACGTCTACTACATCTACTACGCCTTACGGATGATCGAGTTACAGTCGGCGCGATGAATCTAAATCTAACATGTAACTCGACGTTGGAGGATATGAGAAGTACGTGCTGAGATACCCGACCCAGAATCTGGGGTTCCTGCATGCCCAGAATCATGGCGCCAAGACGTAATGCTGACATGCTTGTGATAGTCGGATCCGAAGAGAAGATCGTGGGACCTTTGACCTTCCATGATCTTGCCCTCATCATCGCTGGCGCCGCTACTATTATCGCCTTTATCGTGAGCTTTTATTTGATGTGGCAACATGCCCTAAACTACACCAAGCCCCGTGAACAGCGACAGTACGTTTATCTCCCCGTAGCGACGACGTACGATTTTACTGACTTGAGTTAGTATCATTCGCATCTTGTTTATGATCCCGGTTTATGCCACCTCGGCCTTCTTGTGCATATGGTACTACTGGCATGCCGTTTACTTCCAGGTCATCAGCGATTGCTACGAGGCTTTCGCCATCGCCTCCTTCTTCGCCCTCATGTGCCATTATGTGGCACCCGACTTACACGAGCAGAAGGATTTCTTCCGAAATATGCACCCTATACAAGAGTGGGTATGGCCGATCACCTGGCTCGCTAAGTGCAGTGGTGGTGAAAAGGGACCGTGGAGGACCCCTAAGAGCGGTCTGACGTGGTTTAATATCGTCTGGATCGGAATATACCATTACTGCTTCATTAGGGTCGCCATGACCATCACGGCCGTTGTGACGCAGTATTTTGAACGGTACTGCGAGAGTTCTAACAGTCCCGTTTTTGCCCACATTTGGGTATGTATCGCCATGCTGCGCAAGGAAAAGGGTGGCGTTGCTTACATTGTTACAGGTTATTGCAATCGAGTGTATAGCGGTCACTATTGCTATGTTCTGCCTCATCCAGTTTTACATACAGCTGCGAGAACCGCTAAGCGAGCACAGGCCGTTTCTCAAGGTTTTGGCTATAAAACTTGTCATCTTCTTGTCATTCTGGCAAACGATCGCCATCTCTCTCGGAACGTCTACCCTTCATATTGTAAACCCGAACGCCATCCTCGCCTACCCCGACCTGAAAGTTGGTATACCTAGTCTAATGCTTTGCGTCGAGATGGCGCTTTTTTCAGTCCTCCACATTTGGGCGTTTCCTTACACCCCGTATCTCGAAAGCGCTAAGACGACATACTACCCGGTTTCTGATCCGTCCCAGGGAGCGTCCCCCCGCGAAAACGAGCATGGAGCCAAGATGGGTGGCTTTATGGGCCTGAAAGCTTTTGTAGACGCTCTTAACCCATGGGATATCGTCAAGGCGTTCGGCCGTGGTATGAGATGGCTATTTGTGGGGGTTAAGCGCCGCCGTGAAGACCCTAGTTATCAGGCTAAGGCCAGTGATATTGACACTAGCTATCCCATGAAACCGTACGGCGCAGGTCGCCCCGGCGTGAAGAGTACGGAGAATCTGCCAATCGCTTCCGAATTTCGTCGAAGTACGTTTGGCGTTGGACCCGGTGATCCAGTCCCCGAGGAGAGCGCGGGATTAATCACCCACGCGCAGCCGAATCCAGCTAATCTCTCAAGGCGTCAACCAGACCCTTATTCAGAGCCTGGCCCGGTACAATTCTACGACTACCCCAACCCTCCAATGGGTTACGCCGGCTACGCGTCCTACGACGACGTTAGAGGCGATCTAGGAGCCGCAAATGTGCAATATGAATACGATCCGAACGAAGCCCGCGGCAGCCAAGGTGGAAGCACAGCGGGTTGGAATGGGCCACATGGTAGAACTGGACCAGGTTCAAGAACCTCGACACAAGTTCGCGTCGGCAACGCGCTATGGGGCGATCGACCTCAGCCGGGCACTGCAAGATAATTGCGATCCTTACCATTCACACTAGCCACAAGTATAGAATCTTGTTGCGTTTTCTCTGCGAATGCATATTAGGGTTACGGGGCTAGCCTTGGAATTTCGGCGTTATGGAAACATTTTTGAAGGAGGGGTCTTTGCGCAAGGCGTCTAACTGGTCCGTTTAGACCAGACGAAACTTGATGATTTGTTTCGCCTGTGTTTTTTTTTTGCCCTCTACTGGAGTGGATCATATCATACTTGTTCAAGTAGCTTTGCCGACTGGTTACCAAGGCATGGCAGGATAGGGAAGTCGATAATATATGACTTGGAGATAGATAGAGATACCTTCGTACTTGCGATTGCATAATGAAATGATACGTAAAATCTCGCCTTGTTGCTGCATACCTAACGTTTACTACTTCTGCGTATTAATGAATGGGCTTCATAGTCTGGGTATGACATGAAGACCTTGAGCTGGGTTGGCGTATTTATTATTCTATTGTATAGGAGTGTGTCCTGAGTGTCTGTCCGCTAGAGAAGAGTGGTTGTACTATTTCACTTCTGCGAAACTTGTCACGCGTTTAGTCTGCATGATGCGTGATACCGCGTACATCTATTCATCCACGAGATTAGGCAATGATCTTTCCTATGACAAGCCTAATCTCTAGTCCCGTTCCCTAGCCCCAATCATATTCTACAATTCACACTTCATCCTTAAGAACGCCGGGTTGCCGATTCTATTGTACGTCTGCCCGTTCCTATATCGCATAGGTGTGACGATGAGAAAATAAGGGGGGTATCATAATGCGCGGCTAGTTGTTTGCTTTGCTTTGTTCTGTTGTACATCAGATAGGAGGAAAAATTTAAGCGTAACGTTTCTGATTCTGGTTTTGGTATCTCTTAACGCCTGGATGAACGATAAATGCAGGGAAGGAAAATTGTCTGAATTAAATAGTGTTTGATGTCCCCTTTGCCTTGCTTGTTTTTTTTTTTTTGCTGTGGAGATAGGTGTCCTCCTTAATTCGCGTTAAATCGAAAAAAACCAACCCTGGCGAAGCCGTTTGTCAAAAATGCTCAAAGTTTCCCGCGCCCATCACCCTTGACACCATTGTAGATGAATGCTATGGAAATGTAGTAATCAATGACGATGCCTCTGTTGTTTCTGCTGTTGTTTCTGCCATTGTTTGCGAATTATGTGCTCGTCGCCCTCAGCTGATTTTTCATAATACATGGTCGAGTTAAAAAAAAAAAAATTTTTATCGAGGTAATCTCACATAGCGCGGCTGAGCTTGGTCATCTTGACCCCGGTCCTAACGTCTCTGCCTCTTCTCGGTGGGTCCTCCGAAATCATCGCTTCGACGCTTGCGGCCTCGATCGTCACCTCCCCTTGCGTCACGACGATCATCACCTCCACGTTGTCCTCCACCTGGTCCGCCTCCTCCTCGACCACGTCCATAATCTTCATGTCTGCCACTACCACCATCCCCTCGATGACGCGGCTCTCGCGGCCCATCACGAGGGTTACCCATCAAATCACCTCTCCCAGCACCAGGCATTGGCTCCCTACCAATACCCGCAGAATCCCGGCCGGATCGGCGCGGAGGTTCCATCTCGCCTTCTCTTCCGTGACCGGGAAGCCCGGCATTGGATTTCCGATCTCGGTAATCACGGTGCTCCTTTGGTCTCTGATCCCTTTCTGTACTGCGATCCCGGCTGCTCCGGCGGGAGGATCGTAGAGACCGATCAGCATTACTATGATCTCTTCGTCCTCGCTCGTGATCATTTCGCCCAGAGCGTTCTCCTCCGTTCATATTGCGCTCACCCACCAGTAAATTGGGATCTGGACGCTCGTGAACAGGTGTAGAGACGGGGGATGCTCCCGTGAGCACCTGGGCGTCAGACCCAGCCAGATTAGATCGAGAACCTCTCGAGCGTACAGTGGGGCTCCCCCCAGACAGTATAGTGTTGATACCTGATAACTGCCGTCTCCCACCACCAGCCCTGGAACGTTCATTAGTGTTTGCTGGTCCGGTAGGCGCGGCCATTATGTTAGCATCAGACCCGAAGGGACCTGGGTGGCCTCCAGACGGTTGACGATGACTTGTCGGTCCAGACATGGGAGTTCGATCCGAAGTTTGTAAAGGAGGTAGAGTAGAACGATTGCCTTGGTGAGAACCCGAAGGGGATGCTGAAATCTGGCCCATTCGATCTGGATGCACAGAGACTGGGTTGGAAATAGGAACTGGGTACGTTGGCTGAGGGGACGGTACTAGCCCAGCTGAACTACCTGGGTTCAATTGTCTTAGTCTTTCTGGATGTATTCCCGTTGACGGATTATTAGCCGTTGGAGAAGTAGCCTGACCAGTTCCATGGCCATACTGTCCTCCTGTTTGACCTCGACGTGGCCTAGACGATGCGGGGCCAGTAGGAGGGTGATGCCTGTCTGGTGACGTAGGCCGGTGAGGCTCGTTGCTCGGAAACCTGGGATCTGGTCGTCCCGGGATGTTGTTTGCTGGGGCGCGAGTTGAGTTACGACCACGGCCACGTGGCCCCTCGGGAGGATTAGTTGCGTCACTAATCGAGGGAATCGAACTTAGGCGGCCGTATTCCGGATCTTGGTTGTTTAGTCGGCCATGATCAGAATCGCTCCTAGATGTATGAGGTGGCCCTTGAAATGTGATAGGGTCGCGAGACCTATCGGCTATGCCTCGGTCACCTTCGTGATCAATTATCCTACTGCCTTTTGGCCCAGTAGCTGGCAGTGGTTCATTCCAATGATCACGAGGCGGATGATCTACACGGTGAGGCCGGTCACGGGATGGGTCGTTAGGTCGAGGGTCCGAACGGTTATCTCGCCGAGGCGATACTGGGCGGGAGCTATTACGATCTCGGCTATCTTCCCTGGCTTGACGACTACTGGGCCTGCCTTCGTTGATTAGAGCCGCACGAGCCGGGTTTACCATATTCGAGCGCTCATCTGGACGATCTGCGTTGATGAGGCGTGCGCGTTCCGGGTTTACCGTTGGGCCTTGCAGCTCTGGCTGTGGAGGGGGCGGCATAGGATTTGTGGTCACTGTGTTGTCACGTTGCGCTCTAGTTGCATCGGGTCCTCGATTGGTACCGCCTGAAGGCACGGAGCGGTCACGCGGGCCGCGACCATCCCGATCGGGAGTATTTGATTCGTTTCGCCGGCCGGTTTCTGGTCTGTGTGAAGAACGATCTCTCTCAGATCTTGGAGACTCCCTTGGAATATTTTCAGGAATGCGACGATCCCCAGCTGGCTGGTCTCGTACTCGAGCTAAACGTGAATCATCTGGAGCTCGGAACGACGACCTCTGATCTCTAGGATCTCTTGGATCTCTTAATTCCCTAGAATCACGTAGCTCTCTCGGATCCCTTACAGCTCGCACTTCTCTTGGATCCCTGCTCTCTCTATGATCGCGAGGATGTGTAGAAGTCGTAATTTGACCAAATTTGTCGTGCGTGAAGTGTGCGGGAAATGGCACTTCTGGTCGGCTAGGCAGTCCAGGAGCAGGGGCCAGAGTTGAAGGACGGGACAAATCTACCCTTTGGCTAGATACCGAAGCAGGCGGCGCAGGAGGTATAGATCTTGGAGTCGAGGATCGACTTGGAATTGGTCTTGAGTCGATTTTTTGTAAAGGAGCAGCTGTTGGCTTTTGAGTAGTATCCCTGTTGGTAGGCGTATGCTGCCGAGAATTCGTATCTTTCTTAATAGATTCGGCACCAGCCGATGCTTTCACGTCATTTACCTCGCCATCTTCTTCTTCGGCATTTGCCCTAATCCGCGTTGGCATGCTGCTAATATATTAGGCAAATATTTGGTTATTCTTAAGCAGAACTAAACTTACCCTGTCGTGGTAGGCTTGAAGTCTGGCGCATTTGGCCGGAGACCTGGCTGGCCGGGTTTAGTAGGGTCCGTTGATTTTTTATCCTCTGCAGAGTCACCGCTCTGTGGTAGGGTTAGCACTCGTATGATTCCCAGTATGACGGTGAGAACTTACTGTATTAGACCGAAAGGCCTGGACCATGACCCATTTAGGTGAGTACTTCTTGAGGGCTGAAGTTGCGGTGTTCGCAGTGACCGAGAGGTCCACCCTGTGACTATGTCCATCGTCACCTCCATTCTTTGTTGCATCTTCACGTTCAGCAATCTTTCCGAGTATCTGTAGGAATTGCCGACCCATGAAGTCAACAGCAGGGAAGTGCTCGAGCCCTGCCTTCAATACTGTGATAGCATTTCTGATATGCATCCATTCTGTTCCAGTAAGACAAGCTCGTAAAGCTGTAGCTAAGTTCCGATGCCATGTCCAAAGAAGATCGCGAAATTGGTCGTGTTCCATGAATGCTGTCGGTTTACCATTGTCTTCAAAGGCTGTTGCAAACCCAATTTTCCCGTTCTGTATTGCTTCTTTGACGTACACATCCTTGTCCTTGTGCCACTTTGCAAGGTCACCCAATGTAAGCTTAATAAAATGGCCGAGGAATTCGGCTTCCCGAACCGTACAGCCGAATATCATCAAACGCAGCCTATTTACACCGAAGAATCGGTCATATAAGTCCATGAGCCTGAAATTTGGCACTCGACTCGAGTGCATAAACCGGATCATTCGGTGGCAGAAGTCTGCGTCGCTAGGCGATAGTAAAATTCGCGGGATGAGGCATTCTTCGATGAATGTATCAGCAATAGATTCTGCTTTTGCTGATGAGACAAACCATCGTGGACTCTGTTTGATAAGTAATATCTTAGTCTTGCTCACTCGTTCGTGACAGGTACTAGCTTCAGCAGAGAGATCCTTGTTAAGCTGGATAAGGGCATCAAGAGACTTTTTCTTGGTACTCATATCGCCTCGTTCTCGTTTTAATTCGGTGTACTGTTTCTCTACCCTAGTAATCTCGGCTTCATAACTGTTCATCGGAACCACGAGATCTCCCGTCTGCAGAGACCAAAAGAGCACAAAAAATTCGGGGCTAATTTTGCCCCATACTTCTGCAGGGAATATAGTTCGAACAGCGTTGACGATGGGGCTGAGTACTTCTAAGAACCGGTCAGGTTTCTGACCGTTTATTGCTGGTGGTAATTGAGGTTGAGTTGCCTCATCTACATCCGGTGCGTCCACTGCCATGCGATCCTCGCCGTCTTGGCCAACGGTGACCGGCGCACCATCATTGCTCTTTGCTTCATTGGATGAATCGGTCTCTGCATCTGGCGTTGATTCGGATGTGGCAACAGCGAGCTTCTCTCCAGGACCCATTATGAAATATTGGAGACTGGCTCGGCCTATCATAAAGGCAAGATTAGCGTCAAGGCCAAAATCCGTCATCAACCGTGGGATGTTAGGTATAAGTGCATCGAATTGCTCGGGGGTTAGGTTATTTCGCAGCAGCTCTACATATTGAACAAGAGCTTGCTGTGAGTCGTCAATCACGGTTGCCAAGTACTTGATATGTGTTTCATTCTCCGGTAGATGATAGATGGCGGATTGCCGGTACTGGGCCATGTTTGTTAGGAGTCGACAAGCGAGATCTGTCTGCACTAAAGCCTTCATAAGACGAGCAGCACTCTTAGCGGACTCGTACCGTTTATCGCCTAAACTAACCAGCATTTGGCGTCGTAGAACCTCACCACCGCTCAGGGCGAATAATTGGGCGTCCGTGAAATCAATGTCCGAGACAATTCCGCCCATGGAAGTGATGAGCTCCCGCAGAATGATTAAGTCAGTGGGATTCCCGTGAGTGATTTGATCATTCACGTAATAAATGACGGGCGTCGGATCCATATTGCTATACCGTCGGAATACCCTTCCCGAAAATTTGGATAGAGCCTGCAGCCATCGACTGGTCAAGAGTATAGATGCCTCCTGGGTTCTGCTCCTTTCTTTGCCACCCAATGAGCTCAAGAGAGACCAAACAAGAATGTCATGGCCCATTTCTGTAAAATACTTCGTGCACTCTACAAATGCCTCAATAAGATTGGTATAGGCCTCGATCTGTTCAAGGGCGACCTTGCATACAATACCGGGCGACGACAGTGCTACTTTGGCGAGTTTCTTTGCAGAACTAGAAATGTTCTGGTAAGAAAGCCGTTTTAAAGTCGCTATTGTGCTTGCTTTGGCATGTCTGAAAGCTTTAGCCATGGCAGGAATTCGAGATATTTGCCCTTCATAGCACTCCGAGTAAATATTATAGCGAACCTGTGTCGGATAGTACTTAAGAAGATCCCAAACCGCACCTACGGCATCGACGTTGGCATCGCAAAGGCACAGCGATGGGACAAGTGTCCGTCGAAGGAGATCTTGCCAACGCGCTGCATTTCCTGGCGACTGGTCTTGTAAGAAGCTTTTCACGCCAATAGCGGCTAATTTCTTGACCAAAGAAGGTTCCCTTCCGATGTTAACGCCGGATACGTTGAGGAGCGTGCTGCAGAGCGTGAAAACGTCATCAACTGTTTGGCATATAGGAACGTTATCTGCCCATTCGTCGAGGTAAAACCGGTAGATGATGCCTTTGTGGCTACCATCGGGATGGGGCCATTTCAGAATTTTTACAGGGGAGCCGTCGGTAAGCTTCAGGTTGCCCTTTGTCATCCCAGATTGATCCTGAGCTAGTTCTGCTTTGATGGGATGGTTGGTCACGGGTCGAACCTCAATAGGCCGGGTTTCTTCGAAGACTTTGTTGATAGAATGTAGTAAAATACGATTAAGAGCTGGATATATTTCGTCGGGATACGCTTCGGGAAGCCAAGGAAAGCGACCGATGATGAATAAAGCTTCAGGGATGGCACCCACAACCAACAAGTGGGTTACTAGATCTGCCTTATGAGCCTCTTGTGGGTCGGGCAGACTCGTCTCGTCGTCTTCCTTCGTAGTATTCGCATCTTGCTTGTTGCTGTCACCATTCGCAGCCGTAGATTCCCGGAGTTTGGAAGATGTTGGCAAGGTGTCATCGGTAAGAGCTCCAGCTGTAAGGAGAGCGTTTGGCTCGTTGCCGTGTCTCTTAAGCAACTCTTTTTCCTCGAGCTCCTTTTCTCGTCGTTCCCTCAAGGCTTCCATCTGGGTATCGCTCGGCCAGAGGTGAGGGTAAAGATCAGGCAGAGAAATAAACCCAATTTTGATGAAGAAGGCGGCAAGATAGTACAGATTCGCCGGTAGTGCTTCGAACTTAGCTCGAGCGTCGGACGCATAGAATCGAAATTTGAAGCCCAATAACTGCGCAGCTATCTTATTGCCGCACGGTGGAAGGGTCTTCGTAGTTCTTATCCAATCGAGAGTAGAGTCGCTATTCGAGTTAGGACCGGAAGTAGTTTCCGTAGAGTCGTATTGATCGATATCTTCAACACGTCTTCCGCCAAGCTCAAAAAAGGCATCTAGGTGAATTTCTCGAGCTCTATCCCAGAACGTCAGGTCGCGCTGATAACACCGTTCGACAAGCTCGGCTTTGAGATCCTCGAGACTGGTGTTTTCATATTGTGGCAAAGCCCATTTTGGTAGGCCGCCTGCGAACACCCTTTCTGCATGCTCGACCTGATTGCGAGGCCACCAAGAACTAATTCGCAAAAATCTCGAGAAGAATACGATGTTTCTTAACATCGTTGCAGAAAAAACGTCAATGACAACATCCAGAACTCTGCCAACATCAAGATCGAACGTTCCAATTAAACCCTTCACACGCTCCCAACAAGCTTGCACAAGGGCAAAGTCATGGTGGTCTCGAGCGTAATACGGTGTGCGATAGAGTTCTGCAGCAAGCTTAGAGTATCCCTCAGACTCTTCTCGAAGCAGGTTATAATTAGCTTGTCGGTACAGTTGATTTGTGGCATATCTGATGCCTAATTTGACGAAGGTTTCACGGATTAACCCAAGTTGCTGTAAGGCCGGCGCGTCCAATACTTCGCGCAAGATCTTGGGAGATATCTCCGTGGCAACAACAAAGTCTCGTAGTTGTGGCCTAGCCGCACCATCTTCAGAGTCGATGAAAATCGAGAGCGTGTCGAGGAATAGCCTCTGTGCATCAAACCCGAACCCAGGACCATCGGCATTCTCGACCGCTGGTCCGAGTATTTGTTTCACGCAAATTCCTGCGTCGGTTGGGTTAAGGCGCCCTTCAAGAACAGCACGTGTGAACTCTTGAGATATAGTTGAGATTTCTTCAACGTCTTCGTCGTTACGAGACTTGATACCATGCTCAACAACATCCTGGCGGCCTTTCTGCTGCCACGTGGAGAGTCGCGAGTCTGTTAATACAGCGAAGTTATAGTTGGAAGGAATGGGAGGTCGAGGTTGGCTAGATTGCGGAGGAGCAGATGGCGTAGAGGGTATCGTAGATGGAGCAGCCTGCGACGATGAACTAGATGGTCGAACAGTTGATGGAGAGACGGGGCCTCGATGACCCGTAGCGGCTAGTTGATTGCCTGACGAATCGCGACGGTCGGCATTCCTCCTTGTATTGCGACCGCTTGATGCACGACGATTCTGCGATGAAGGACTATCTTGGAAATCTCGTTCGTGCTGGGCGAGGTTTGTGTCGGAAGGACGATGAGGAGCCGGCCGATTTGCTCCAGCGTCGGATGGCCGCTCGTTCCTCTTTCGCTTTGGAGGCATTTTGGTTGCGTGCGACGGATTCTATGTCACAGAAAAGGGCATCGAAGATGAGGCTAGAAACCGAAAGGCTAGAAACCGAAAGGCTAGTAGTAGTGGATATGTTCAGACGGCGATGAGAACAGTGGGAATTAGACCTCAGCGTATCATACTTAGTGTAAACCTAGATAAATATTGTTGCTGGAGGGGGCCGCGATGATTTCTGACAAGTAGTCGGAGTAGCCGTGTAGCATTGCCAGAGAAATAGTGACGAGTAAGAGAAAAAAAAACCCATGAATTGAGAATTGATGATAAGAGTTTGAAGCACTCTATGAATGCGAACAAAGAAAGCGTGACTGTTTGAGTGTTGTACAGCGTCACCCCTCCTGTAGATGGCTAGCCGGTCGTTAATGGTGAATAGTGGGCGATGATTACCTGAGAGAAGGGGATAACGTTGAGTTGGCTGTGAAGGAATGATGCCCGTTCGACAAGACGGCGGTCGCGTTGAATGAAGAAGCTACCTATCGCGTGGTGGATTTTGGACGATGCAGCCTCAGAGCTTGCAAAAGGTAAGGCTGCATGTAGGTATATTGATTGTAAAAGGAACTTGGGTTTATCTGCGTATTGTGTAGCTGCCTAAAGTATTGAGTACATCCCGAAGTACCTAACATGCATGTATGTATCTCGCTCGGACCCGCTACCAATACGGCCAGCAAAATTGCCATCTTAGGTACATACTGAGAACATACTTACATAAGCGAAAATTTATTTGATGTGGCCCTCCATATCTACCTGCGTCAAGGTACATACACCCCCGATTACCTATCTGGAGTGAGAGTCATCATTGAACACCATCTCCAGCATCTTGCGCATGTAACGGAATGACGTGCGAATCAAATCTAGTATAAATACAGATAACCATATAAGACACACGCAGTAATCTTGTTACATTTCCCAGAAACAAATTACCTAGCGAATTATATCGTAACGCCTACGAGACATTAATACGGTCTTGAATTATTATTCGTTTAACTACCTACCTACCTAGGTACCTACTTACCTCTATTCTGCACCTATTATATCTTCCTCTTGCCTCCATACATATGATACGTCTGTCATACGAAAAATGACACAGGAAGCTATTGCTGGCAAGCAGCCAAAATATGGTCAGTCAGAATTCATTTCCTATCGTGGTTTCTATTTGCGTGCTTTTGATGCAGCTGCTTCTTTACTCCCAAATCCCCAAACCTCTGTGGCATAGAGCAGTGACTGAATACTTGGAAGAAAGAACTCGGCAGCAGCCTGAGAACCCATTCGCGAGTCTGATTCCAGACCAGGAAATTGCCATTATTCCAAGCTTCACTCTCGAGTCGGGAGTTACTCTACGGAATGTGCCATTGGCATATACAACGCGAGGAAAGCTGTCTTCAAATGCAGACAATGCTATGGTCATCTGTCATGCCTTGACGGGCTCAGCTGATGTTGGCGATTGGTGGGGACCTCTTCTCGGCGGTCCTGGCCGGGCATTTGACACTTCTAGATTCTTCATCGTCTGTATGAACAGTTTAGGTAGCCCCTATGGCACCGCCAGTCCAGTAACCGTCAAGGATGGCGACCCGAACAATGAGAGATACGGCCCCGAATTTCCTCTTACCACAATAAGAGACGATGTCAAGTAGGTCGAACTCAGCCGAACTCCATATTCACTTCTGACTTGACACAGTTTGCATAAGCTTCTTCTCGACGACCTAGGCGTACGCCAAGTAGCTGCCGTCATCGGTGGATCTATGGGCGGTATGCTTGTGCTTGAGTGGGCGTACTTTGGTAAGGATTACGTTCGAAGTATTGTCCCGATCGCTACTTCAAGCCGCCATAGCGCTTGGGGAATTAGTTGGGGCGAAGCCCAACGACAGAGCATATATGCGGACCCAAAATATGATGATGGATATTATTCATTCTCCGATCCACCCACGACCGGCCTTGGAGCCGCCCGTATGTCCGCCCTTTTGACATACCGGAGTCGGAATTCCTTTGAGGCACGGTTTGGGCGCAATATCCCAGACCCGGCTAGGCGCCAAACCATCAGGGAAAGACCCCGCCCGAGCACTCCATCCGAGGCTCATTTTAATATTCACAATGATGGGCACAAGACAACTCGGTTATCAAGAAACAATAGCCACACCAGCGAGGCCGATGCGGGCATTCATAATGATACAAATGGCCAATCACTGGATCCCCAGTTCTCTGGCCCGAAGATAGAAACTTCTACTGGAGCTGATTCGTTGCCAACCACAACCTACTTCTCAGCTCAGTCATATCTTCGTTACCAAGGCGGGAAATTTGTCAAGCGCTTTGACAGTAACTGTTATATCGCGATCACACGGAAACTAGACACGCACGATGTTTCTCGATACCGCGCTAGTACCGTCGCCGAGGCACTTGCTCTCATTGAGCAGCCCACGTTAGTTTTGGGGATTGAAAGTGACGGGCTCTTCACATTTGCTGAACAACAGGAATTAGCGGAGCACATCAAGAATGCCCGGCTTGAGAAGATAGATAGCCAGGAAGGTCACGATGCCTTTCTATTGCAATTCGAGCAAGTCAACAAGTATATCCTAGAGTTCCTACACGAGATACTGCCGGACATTATGGCTAGAGAAGGCGAGCAGGTGGAGGCAGCTAGCGTCGGTCGGATAACTAAATCGAGCACTTTCGGAGAGGCAGAAGTAGAAGTAGAAGACATCACGGCGTGGTGAATAGCTTGTGCGCATAGACTACGACAAATAAATTGATATTTGAGTTATTTGAATTAAGAGAAGATTGCTTACCTTGAGTTTATATCATCCTACCACGATTAAGCCATGTTTCGAAATCCGGAGCCAATTATTAGTAGTGCCGGGTTACGTCCAGGATCGAGAGACATACATACTTCTAGAATATGGCATGTCTAGTCGTCCCGAGATATTGGTAAAGATAGCTAGCGTCAAATCAGATATCCCATCTATGACATGCGCATCCACTGAACCACCCACAGTAGCATCGGTCGAGGTAGGGTGTAGTGCCGCCAACACGAGCCAAATAAACTGGCGTACGTGCAAATTTGGGGGTTCGGTGAGCATTGGTAACTCTCATACATGATAATGTTAACGTATAGTTATCGGAAGCTATAACTTATACACATTGCTTAAGAAATAAGGTTGACTTCCAACAAACATAGATTATACCAGGAATAGTTAAACAAGATTCTTTTCGAGTATTTGTACGATCGGGGCATGATTCCGAAACCCCTATTCCAGTAGGGATAATGGAATAATACACAAAACCCTAAAACTTATAGTTATACAACATGTGTAGTGGACTTGCGCGAGTTTATACTTGATGGTTCTTAGAAGGTAGCCACCACGTGCTTATAAGGTAGGTATCCGTAAGTAATAAACACCTCAATCATGTTGCTGACTTTCTTTCTAAGGTGAATGGTGTTTTTGTTTGTCGCCTGTGAATTGAAATACCTACCTGCAATGGGGCACTGCATCGTAGCGCGTAACACATGGGAGCGTGGTGGCTTGCAGACCTGTATGGTCGAGATCGAATAGTTTAGACCACGTTCCGAAATCCTGTGTTCCGATTGGCAATATTGGCTTGCATAAGATGGCTTCTTGGACATTTACCGCCAAGCTAAATGGTTTCTCATTAGACCGCTTGCACAGCTTCATCCTAGGTCCTCTCCTCCTGCAGAGGGGCAGAGCTGATACTTTTAAGATTGAGAAGCATCTGCCACGCGTCAAGTAATATTCACACTTCGGCTTCGTCGATATTGGGATGGGGAAAAAAGAATAGAGATATGTACCTACCTTAGGTACCTAATAGGATCTGAACTAAGGGACCTCACTAAGTTGATAAGGTGCTTAAGTAATATATATTTAAACTTTAAATCGCGGGCCGGTGGGTACGTGCGTCGATTTGCCCCGCGAAATCCCACTCTCGCACCCGTAACGCGGCTCATTTGCGACTGCATCTTGTACCTACCTATGCCATTATCCTTGCCGTATCCTTGCCGTACCCTGCCAAGTCCGAGGGATCCCCTGAACCTACCACCTACTTAGGTACCTACCTACATGGAGTTTCGAGAATATGTAGGTATGTTGGGAATATGTTCATTTCAGCCTTCGTATAATCATGTGATACTGCCTCCCACGTTTTTAGAGCCAGATGAGCCAGATGAGCCAGATGAGCGGGCCTCGCCTCACCCTTGGTGCGAGCCCAGATTCTTCTCTACGATGTGGGATGAGCAGGATGAGTCCCACTTGAACCTCACCGAACTCATACATATGGCAATGAGCAGCTCTAGTTTCACACCCACATTTTGATCAAGCTGAAGCTGTTAGCTTCACGATAGTCATAAGTCTAACATTATTGACCAACACATCTCATAACCTTTCGACACCATGTTACTTTGGTCTGTCGTCCGACAAAGCGTTGCACCAAGACACAAATAGGTATGTAGGTCGTGGAACGGGAGTGTCAAGGATACTTGAGGCTAGTTTAAGAACATTCACCCCAGAGGCGTGTCTAGGGTCTAGACTCTTGCGCCTCTTACATCTTTGCCTTTGTGCATTCGTCTTCTTTCGCCGTATTACATTGGATGTCATCCTAACAAAAGATCCATCAGCCCATGTATCCAACGTTTAACCCCTAAGCTCCTTTAGGAGCCTCCCGAGAAATCCGTCCACCCACGCGATTGGGTCGATGGGACCTTGTTAGACCAAGAAAAATGTTTAATTACCGTAACGATCATCGGAGTGCGTCAGATCACATCACATCCCTCCCTACCCTGGTACGCATCGAGGCTTTGTCTTAGATCTCGAAGGGCTTACACAACTTTGTTCGTTTTACCTAGCTGCTTCACTTTTCATTATTTATCACTATTTTCTATCCCATAGCCAGCGCATATTACCTGTCCCATCCGTATCTTTTCGATAGCAAGTCGGTTTCACAGGATCGGCAGCCGTAAGACGTGCGGTCTCGGCGGGTATAGCCGCATTGTATACTCCCACGTAGACGGAAGGCTCATCTAATAAATAACACCATGAACAAATCGTAGCCCCGTCGAATCTAGCCCTCGAGCCTCCTGTTGGGTAATTATGCATTTATTTGCTTCCGCGGCCGATATCGCGAAACACTTACGATAAAGCAAAAGCTGGTCGAGCTTCCGACGATGACCACGCCGGAGCCTATGACGCCGGCCACATATGACCGGACGTATGGCGGCAATCGAGCTTTTCATAATTTCTTCAACGACTTCAGCCACATCCAAGACCCGAACCTACGGCGACGACTCGCGCTGTCAGAAATCGATAAAGTACCTTTTGGAATGTACCATGTGAGGGCTGTGTTAGTCGCTGGTATAGGATTTTTTCTTGATTCGTACGATATCTTCGCCATCAATCTCGTAACGACGATGCTCGGTGTTGTATTCTGGCACGGAGCACCGGAGAATGCGAAGAATGGGTATGGAGGGAACTTTGGACACTTACCGACCCCGGTCAGCCAGACTCTGAAGGCGTCAACGAGCGCGGGTATCATCATAGGTCAGGTCCTATTTGGTTGGTTGGCAGATAAGTTCGGAAGAAGGCGGATGTACGGAGTTGAGCTAGGCATTATCGTCTTCTCGACTCTCTCCTGTTGCTTGGGTAAGTACCTATAGAAATATCCTTAATTGGAACCCAATTCTTTATAACCCCCTACGCTACGGCCCTCATAGTTCACTTGAACTTCTAAACACGGGGAACTATTAATACGATTTGAAATTGCAAAAGTTAACGTTTATATAGTTGCGGCCTCTCAAGCTGTGAGCTTCACCGGACTAATGACTTTTTGGAGGGTTATGATGGGGTAAGATGACGAATAATATTGCGTGCGAATTTGTGCTAATACCATAGCCAGAGTCGGTATAGGGGGGGACTATCCTTTGAGCGCTGTCATCACCTCAGAGTTTGCGCCTACGCGATGGCGCGGCGCCATGATGGCCGCAGTGTTTTCTATGCAAGGGATGGGACAGTTGCTAGCCGCCGTCGTGGCTCTTATCGTTACCGCATCTTTCAAGAACGCTTTCGGAAACGCATTGACCGTCGACCAGTGCGACTACGCATGTCAGATAGCCGCTGATCGATGCTGGCGTATTATTGTGGGAGTTGGAGCTGTTCCGGCTTGCTTCGCTCTCTATTATCGCATTACGATCCCTGAAACACCTAGATATACCTTTGAGGTAGCTAAGGATGTCGAGAAAGCGGCTGCCGACATCAAGGCGTATATGTCGAGCCAGTCAGAGGGAGAGGTGGATGAAATCACACAAGCAAGGATGAAAAAGGTCGCCGCTCCAGCGCTCAACATACCTTCAGCGTCTTGGCACGACTTATACCTTTACTTCACACAATGGAAGAACGCTAAAGTCCTGCTGGGAACGACTCTGTCATGGTTTTTCCTAGTACGTATCCCTCAACAGGTACCTAACTTCTTGATCAAATTTGTTTAACCTCGAGACGCAGGACCTAGCTTTCTATGGTTTAGGATTAAATAACCAGATAATATTACAAGCAATCGGTTACGCCGATGGGGACTCGCTTTACACAATATTGTTCAACAGCGCAGTCGGCACGATCATTCTAGTCGTCGCAGGCTCTCTGCCTGGATATTGGACTGCCATACTGACGATCGATACTATTGGCCGTAAACCACTCCAGATTATTGGATTCGTTATACTTACTATCACCTTTTGCGTATTAGGATTCATGTATAATAGCCTCAGCAAGGGTGCTTTACTGGCCCTATATGTCATTGCAAACTATTTCTTCAATTTCGGTCCAAATACCACTACCTTCATCGTCCCCGGCGAGTGCTTCCCGACACGATACCGCTCCTCCGGACACGGGCTTTCGGCAGCTATGGGAAAGGTGGGTGCCATCGTCGCACAAGTCGTTTCCTTGCCGCTTCTCACAAAGGATGCCCCTAGCCATTGCTCGGGGAAATCATGCACGCCCTGGCTCGCTCGGCTGATGCAGATATTCGCGTTATTTATGCTCTGCGGGACATTTTCGTCGCTACTGATTCCCGAAACTAAGGGTTATACCCTCGAAGAGCTAGCGGGGGAGCCTCCGACATCGTACAACTCGGGCCGTAACGGCAGCATCATCGAACGGTCTAAGGGCCGATGGTGGAACCCGTTCTCGGGCGGTCAGCCGGCCGGCTTCTTCTACCCGCGCATGGCACCGAGCGGTCGGACGGGTATCATGACGACACCCGAATCGGTAGTCCAGAACGTTCAACCGAAAAAGGGGCGGAAGTTCTGGAAACGCAATAGCGGACCCAACAGCGATAACGCGGGCGACTACGCCGCTAGCTCGAGCTCAACAGCGGGTTTTGCCACGTCAGGGGAGACGATGGTGGCGAACGCAGGCGTGTTGCCCGGTTGGGGGGCTGGCTGGGGTAGGATAGATAGAGGAGGGAACACTCTCGCCATGGATAATATACGGCTGCAAGATGTGGGAAGCCTGTTAAAGTAAGGGGTATCTAGACTATAAGACTTGTATAAGGTATAAGGCAACTTCAATAATAAAAGGGAGCACAAGCGTGGCGCACGGATCGGACTGGGTTTGGTTGGATACGGGAGGCTTTTTTACTCGCTTGAGATTGATACCTTGTACGTCTTGGGAAATAGAACTACTTGTAGGCACTGTAGTATTATATCATTTTGCTATTATAAAGGTGTTTATAGTCATTTTTAGTTGGAGTGAAATAGAGGGTTCCTTTCCCAAAGCAGAATCTTAGGATCAGCTTAGATGAAGGTGCATTGCTAGGAACCTACTTACTTAATCTGTTCAAGTCGTCCATACAGTCCATACACGTTATTGAGTTAAGGAATGATGTGGTATGTATTTCATCTATACATAACTACCTTGTAACAGGAATAGGGTCTATAAACAGATACTCCTTCCCTAGATGCATGTGAAGAAGTAGCATACGGATATTTAGGAAGCAGCCCTCCCCCCAATTACACCTTCCAGGTCTACAACCCCTCCTTTACATATCTGGGAAGGTGGCCCTGTTATAATAGGAGGAGTATTTGCATGTAGCATTGTTTTATGGAGACCACATCGTCGTGTGCACATCGCCTGGTCAATCACACAACGTGAAGCTAAGAAGCGTTGCCTAGACGCTCTTTTTTTCCCATAAAAGTTTCTTCACCAGCTCGCTCCTTTAAAAAGCCTCTTGTCCCTTTCTTCCTCACTGTACCGCGTTCCCTTCATTATCTGCTGTTTCAACAATGGGTACTAACAGGACCAAAAAGCGACGTGAGGGTAGAAGGAGGAAATCTCAACAAGATCAATGGAAGAATTATGCTACCGCGCCTGATATGCTTCGGTTCAACAGCTGCACTGGTAGATTAGCTCTTCGTCAACAGCCTGGATTTCGACCTTTAGGACCGGCAATCCAACCAAAACAGGCCGGCAAAAAGCAACCTTTCGGCCACCCTAGTCCTTGCGATTCTCGGTTCGCGAAGCCCACTGTAAGTAAACTACTTGCCTTCTCCTAGCTATATCGAAGACTTACGGGACGCTGGTAACTGACGCTTAAAGCTGCAGTTGATTATACAGACCGCCACTGTTACTCCCGCCCTAAGAAGCCTGGGTGACGTCCTAATGGACTACCCTAAGAAGCGATTTGAAGGCATCAGCCAAGATATTCTTGACTTAGCCGCCAAGTCTGTGTTGCAAGTTACTGACGAAGTAACGGTGAAATGGCTACACAAATGGTGTCCTTACATGGACTTCGCGCTGATTTTCGACTGGATCCGATCTATAGACTGCGTCGAGAACAACTACAAGCACAACCTATACATGGTACCATCTGAGGCCATGGATATCAAAGGCACTGGTACGACACTGGCAAACCTATACCGGAATTGCCGAGTAGCCTACTCGAAGTACCCCGTCCTCAAGATGTCCAATGTCGTGGAGATTTTCGATAATTGCATCATTGTCTGCCGCGTACTCAAGAATGAGAAGTGCACAGATCTCCTGAAGAGGACAAAAGAGATCATCCAGTGGCTTCCTGTCGGCCTCGGATGCAAGGAACTGGAGGTGCAGAGAAAATTATCTCGCAACTTAAACAATCTCTCTCCTTCCCTGAAAGACAGAAATAAGTTGGAGGAGGAACTGCTGGACGCAGCACTCGTCGAGTTCGAAATACATCGGCAAGAATTTACCATCAAACTTCTGCAGCAAGTCAAGTTACTGCTGGACTCCTCCGACCCGTTTGGGGCCGACAACAACCTATGAGATATACTATTTCATACGTTTCTACGTCGTCATAAAAACCGTAACGGAGGTTATTGGATTATTGATTAGCTAGCTCATGCCTCACGAGTCCATCAGCCAAATACATGTGCTAAATCCACTTGAGGACATTTGGTAGAGGGATACGTATTACCACCGCTGACGCCCTCTCTTTACTGGCCACTCAACTTCCATTGCCTACCTTCCACCTAGGTCCTTTTCCAAGTGAGCCATTGCAACCATAATGCCATCCCAGGCCAGGTTTTCAGTTCTACTATTTCTTAATCTTCGGTTCAGGTTTCCGGAGTGCCACTCCACGAACCTATTTCGATTGTACGAGGAATGAGACACATAGGGACAACTTATGTCTCATTCTGTATAATTGATCTTCCTTCAACAGGACAGGGTGGATATCCGAATAGGGATTTCTTAATAATTGCGTTTTCGGAAACCATAACGTTTCATTTTGCATCGTTGCGAGAGGTGGTCTATTCATTGAGTAGGGCAATATTATGGAAATCATCAACCCGACGCTGGACGGTAGTTAGTCTAAATAGGCAGGGTTGCCTTCGTATGGGGGAGGGAGAATGGGTTGTCAATTTCTTTAGGAGAGGCCATAATCAGTTACATAGGACTTGCAACGGAAACACTCCTTGTTCTTTAATACATTCTCGTCTTCTCCTATCCCTATAGCTTCTCGGGGCGACTTAAGTTCGTACTTTCAGCCTTAAAAGGCCAACTATAAGCTTGGTTATAACTAGTATACTATTATAATTATCCAATCACTCTCGGATATAGATAGCATGAAGTTATAGTAGTCAGCCGGCGGTACCCAGCGCCCTTGTAGGTCCTGTTCAGCCCATATAGACATTGAGCTAGCTCCAGCCCTCATTCATCTAGTTGCGCCGCCTTCTCATCCATCTGCCGCATAAGTGCCGTCTCCTCATCTTCCATCTCATCCTCACCAGCCCCAGCACTCCCATTTCCAATCCTTAACCCCCTCTTCCTCATCTCTCCCTCCACATAGGCCCGCGTGACCATCCCCTTCGTCAGCACGCCATCATCCTCCAGCTGCGTCCGCACCCAGCCCTCGAGGCTGCGCATGCCTACAACCAGGAACCCGAGCTCCTCGCGGTCCACGTCGAACACCTCCCACCACGCACACGTCGGCATCTTGGCCCCGGCGTCGCGCGCCGCGGAGTATATCGCTGCGACGGCGAGCGCGTGCGGCTGGTGCGTGAGATACAGCAGCTGCGGCGACAAGAGCGCCGTGTTGAGATACGCGACGGCGCGTCCCGCGATCTCGGCCCTGGGTAGGCCGAGGAAGTCTAGCGCTTGCAGGTATGTGATGGCTAAGGGGTGTGGCAGCGCGACGTGCGTGTTGAAGGACAGGGAGTACAATATGCGGGCCTCGAGGGCCATGATACGTGACTGGAAGGAGGCGTACGGGATTCCGGGGAGGTTGGATGGTGACGGGCCTTCTTTATCCTTGCCATGGATATCTCCTCCGCCCTTGAAGAGCACGGAGTTCGGAGATAGGAGGTACGCGTACACATTGCAGACATCGCGGGGTAGGCACGGGTGTGCGCCGAGCTTGGCGACGAGGAAGAGCGCGGCGGCGGATGTGTCGCTGAACTCGTAGGATAGGGGCGATTCGACGAGCCAGTAGCGCGCGAGGACGACGTTGGCTTGCGCCGTGACGGATTGGGGGAGCCGTAGTAGAATGCCGGCGGCTTGGGTCAGTCGTTGGGTCGCGAAGAAGATGGCGTCTTGGAGGTCGGAGGGCAGCGCGCTGAAGGAGGTCCGCTGGTATAGCTGGTCGACAGTCGCGAGGGGATTGGTCATATGCGTCATTTTGGGGGGGTTGGGGGGGTTGGGGGGGGGAGGGATGCAAAGTGCGGTATCAATTGGTATCGTGGTGCATCTATGTAGGGTTGATATTTTGGTATAGGTCGCAGTCAAGTGCTTAATTCTTTATATGCGCCGCACTAATCTATGTTACAAGCTTGTTGATTTTGGAGACGTCATGTTATGCGAGGCTGCGAAAATTTGACTTTTGAGGCTGAGACAGCCGTGAGCTGATAAGGTTTACAGGGGTATCCTGGGTATCTTGGTCCTATCTTGGTCCCATCTTAAATCCTCTACATAAATTAGTAAGTGGGCTCCATGGGAGCAAGTCCGGGGCCCCGGACGGAGATGACTAATAGGGTCCGTCCAGCTAACGCCACAGCCAAGCCCCAGATTCCGTTACTCAGTTCCAATATCTCTCAGCTTCAACCAACAATCTAAAAAACCGTCGCTGACTCTATTAACCTAAACTTCTTCCTTTCCTGTCTTCCGTTTTTCATGCACGTTTAATATTCCAATTCCAATTCATGTTGCAGGAAGCTAAGTAACGTCATGCAATCACTCGCATCCGCGAGCCGTCCTTTATCCTAGCAATCTTGCCACCTGGTACCCTGGCCCGCTCTTACAGCAGTCTACCCTACCCTCTCTATCTTTTCAGAAGATAGGCTCATCAGCATGTTCCTTGGTCGTTGCAGAAGTCACTGTACAAGACCCGTTATGCAAGGCTAGCTATTGACGGAATCTCATCCTGGCGAGCCTTGGCATATTCGCCAATCTGTGGATACACTTTATGATAGTTCGCCTGGGGATCAAAGGTGTGCCAATGAGACGAAATGGTTCTCTTTCTTACACCCGAACTCGCCGCCGGGGAGGCGCACATTATATGCAGAATAGAATCACGGCCTTATTTAGGATATTGGACCCAGTTTCGGAACCAGGCTGAGCGTATCAGGCATATCGGCCCTTGTCAGATTCGCAACCGGGACAAGAACACTCATGGAACAAATAAATAATTCCAAAACAGGATAACAACTACCATTCACCCTACAAGGCATGTCATATTCTATCCTCTACGTGGGGGTCATGATCCTTGTTGAAGCACTCACATGTATAACGATAGAGAGATCACCAGCTCTCCGGACCAGCGAGTACTTTCCCGGACTACCGGCTTCGCTGCCGAAAGAGGTATAATAACTATTTTAGTGTATAGTGTCGGGCGAGTTGTAGCCGCCGAGGCACTATCATGGGCGCCGGTTACGGTTCAAGTTCTTGGACACGTCACTCAGTAAAGACAACTTATATTCGGGTCTTATATAGGACGCCAAGCCAGCTATCCATCTAGATATGGTCTGTTGGTGCAAGATCCGATGCCGAAGTCGGGATCCTGATACTTTACAGTTAACCGATGAGACTGAATTTGCCGGCAAGGTGCTACCCTCGCTTTGCCCTGTTTAGCCCCGGCCGCGTCATACTTCTAGATCTATTAGACCCTTTCTACGTAACCTACACACTCCTATAACTACGCTCGTAGCTAAATAATTTGATATTTCGCCTTCTTGGCGTTCCCTTAGACCGGGCCGTGTCACGGATTCTCCGCGCCGTCGTACCGTATTACCTAGATCTGTAGTTCCCATTCGTGTATCGAGATTACTCTGTATATAATCGAGCCGCTTACTGATGAATCAATAGTCTGTTCGCTTAAAAGTACGAGCTACCCTATCACGTTTATTTATTTATTTCATATAGTTTTAGCCCGGTGCCCTTGCAAGAACTTCCAAGATCGTCCGCCGGTATTTCTAAAATACATAGCTTCTGTTCTGCCGACTTCATAAGTCATTAGGGTGACGTATGGTATATAATATGACTTCCTATAAAAAGAAATTTTCATTCTCCAACCTCTTGGTAGCTACCACGCTTTGCGGATCTTGCGTATAGGGTCATACGGCATTTTCCGTGGTGCATCTATCAACTACATTACCGCGAACTTAGACGATATCTAATTTAATATGGAACTTGATACCATACTGTAGCCAAACCTGTTCCTCAAACGTACAATATGGCTCTGAGACGAATTAGTCTAGTAGACGGGAGATTTAAGCCTAGCTCACCTGATGAATATACCGTCTATTATCATGCGGCTGTTCGTATAGGCAAATTCGGCGCTTCTATACCGCCCTTTCATATAGCGTATAATGTAATCGAAATTCCATAGGTCCCTATGTTAACATTAAAAACTGACTCTAGCGATAATAATGGGCGGTATCTTCAAGCTGCGAGCGAAATCCAGTAACGTCACTGGATAAAATGCAACAATTTGGTCTAAGGGTGCTCTCTAGTCAGATACTTAGATACACTCGGGTTAATTTCACTACTGTATACAATGCAAACCCTCCTTTTGTGAAGCATTTGGCGTCTTGCGAAAGCGAAAGCTGTTAGAAAAGGGGTATCCCATTGTCTTAAGAGGAGCGTATCGCACAACTATAAAGCAGCTATAATTAGACTACATAGAGGCGTGTATAACCCAAGACTTTCCATAAGGACTGTACTCAATACTCTTTTGTGCGGCTCTTAGACAACAGGGGTCAAATTCTTTGTATAAGCAGTCTTGAAAGCTACTATTCATAATCCCCTTGTTGGTATAGAGAAAGACGTTAGATTAAACAATAGTATAGAGACAAGAACCGAAGAGAACCCCTTTCTTTATCTCTTAGAGAGGCTCTAGTCTAAACAATGTCTTCTTACTACTAGATGCCTCCTATTTAACGTCTTGGGACGACTATCTAGAGGCTTCCATAAACCAACCAAGGAAACAACAATACTTACATACAAGCATATCAAAGCAGAAGTAGAGACTAGACTCGATATCAGAAAAAAAGGTAATTTATCGCATTCTATTCTTTAAAGTCAAAAAAGAAAATACATCATGTGCAACGCCACGCAAACTGAGATGTCCTGCGGACACGTCCTAACACACTATAATCAATACTGCGATGAGGGATGCCGGAAACCGTGTCCGCAACCTGAGCTCAGCGTACCGCGCGCTTACCTCGAGGACTGCTGCGCCGAGTGCGACCCCATCTACAGGTCGAACCTGGTCCGCCGCGAGCATCGGGACCGGCACTTGGAGCTCATGAACCAGGTGTACGCGCATAAGCGCGCGGGGCACCTGGAGGAGGTGAGGCGGTTATTGGAACGTATGGATGTGGTGCAGCGCGCGGCAAACGTGGCGATGGGTGAGATGCGGTATTTGTGCTCGTCTTCTGCCGATGTCGAGTTCCCCGGTGGTGGACCCGATGCCATAATGCCTAGGGGCACGAGTAGGTGGGTTGATGGCAAGTGTGTCTGGGAAGAGGACGTACCGTATTCCGTGCCGGGAAGTCAGCGGAATAGAAGAGTTGCCCCAAAGCAGACGCAGGCGGAGCAACAAGAGCTGCCGCGGATCTCGGGACCGCCGCGGTTGCATTCGACGAAGAAGGAGTACGTTGACCCCTTTAAAGCGGAATCAGACTTTCAGCTGCAGAAGGAACAGCAACCTAAGGTGAGCCGACCGCCACGTCTACGGACTAACAAGAAATATACCGGCCCCCGCGGGGATAACGTAGTAGTCTTCGACGGAGAGGAAGATGAGCGCCAAGCCCCGTCAGTGCAACCCCGTCTCCGGCGATCGAAGACGTATATCAATAAGCTTGATTCTGCTAGTTCTGCTAGTCAAGGATCCGAAGAGTCCTTGGATAGCGATAGAACGGTACGTCCTGTTGTACGTAGCTCGCATACTAAATATGCTGCATCGAAAATTGGCGATGAGGAAGAAGAAGACATTTGGCTACAATTAGCCGAGAAATGCGTGGTAGAATGAGATGGCCTTCGTAGATTAATAAGATACTGTGCGCATAGCATCGGATAGATAGAATACATACTGACAATCTCACTCCTTGCAACCCTACATTTTTGTTTAAAACTCAAACGTGACATACCCTATTCTTCTAGTTTCTCAAGATTCTCTTAAGTTGAAACCATCCGGAAGATTTACCTGGCCCAGCCGATTTGCGATATCTAGAGGTTTCACGACTACTTGATCTGCAGAGCCGGCATCATTCTGGTTACTAGCCTCTTGAATCGCTTTCTTAACTTTCGTATACTCTTTAACACGTGTGGTAGCAAGTTTCCCTGCTCTTCGTCTATCGGTCGGGCACCGTAGAAGTGGGACCTGAATAATGGCCGCGAAGACGTCAAAAACCTTTTCCACGGGCACGTTATGTCTTTTTGCGACATCTTCAAATGGAAATTTCTCCTGGCACGTCTCTGCAACGTCTACAATTAAGTTTGGCGAGGGCTTGCGATAGGTAGGCTGGATAAGAGACGCTGGCGGTTTGACTGGGTTCAAGGCCGTGGGGGGCTGGGCTTCACCGGTTGCTGAAGTTGACGAAGGTTGAATTTGGTCGTTGATATTTGTACGGCTTGGCCTAGAATTCTTGTCGTGAACTTGATCTTTCATCTGCGCTGGGCTAGTCATACGAGTTGGGACGGTTGTGAAATTATTGTTATTGATAGGCATCATGATTGGTGCAAGGCCTGGACTCAGGGAATGCATGCTGTTTGGACCCATAGCTATCATTTGAGGATGTAGATGTTGACTAAACGGCTGATGGCAGGCGATTTGTGGAATCATGTGATGTGGTATATTATGAGGGAACATCGAAAACCCTTGGAATTTCGCAAGATCTGCTTGTTGCCGCATTCTGGCACAAATTTGGCATGGCCGCTTTGTTGTATCTGATCGGGTAGTAATATGAGTGGCATTATTCGACGGGGGACCAACTCGTGCAGATTTAGGGGTTGCTGATATTTCAGCGTTTGGTACTGGGGGCGGAGGCATCGCTAAACTCTTCGGGTCTACATTTTTAGGTGACCTATTTAACATAGGAGACGACGTGTGTGTATGGACAACTGGCTCCTTGAGAACGTGTAGTTGGTCGATTGTCGAGGTAGGATCCAGTGGATTTGTAAAATATGCTTCTGGCTGGGCCGCATTTTTGCCCATTGACATACATGCCATAGGTGCGACGTCAAATCTGGAGCCTCTAGGGCTGTTCCCATTGGCGTTGGCACTCACCATTGCTGGCGCAACTGTTTGCGGTAACTGCTTGGGGGAGAGCTCTGGTGAGCTTGGAGGTCTCGGCCCGCGAGAAGGTTGGTTGAGGACGAATCTTTCCAGTACAGGGAGAGACACACCTCTTAGCATAGAGGCGAGTTCCATAGTATTGAAATCTGAAGGGAGCCCAACCATGCCTGTGCTAATCCGTCTATCAGAGTCTTTAAGCTCAGCAGGGTGGATAGAAACGGGCGGCATAGGTGTGATAGGTATTGCCGATATATTCTGTTGCTGTACCATAGGCTTTGGGGCTTGCTCGCTTATCTTTCGCCTCTTAACAGGCTTGGATGATATAAATTGAACATCATCGTCCGATCTTTTCGCAGGTATAGCTGACCTCGGAGCAGAAGGAAATGAATAGCATTCGCTAAGGGGTCCCGGCATATCTGAATACCGCGTGCTTTCTTGAGCTTGGTGCTGAACACTCATAGATATTGCTAGGAGTGAGATGTACTGATAGATTTGGGACTTAGTCGATGAAGCTGCAGATATTAGTTGCTCGCAATAGTTCGAAGCACCCGAATCACCAAGAAGAGAGTAACGATGCCAGTCATCCAAGTATTTGTACAGAACAGATTCGACTAGGATTAAAATAGGTAGGGTTTGCTAAGACAAAAAGGCTGTCAAAGTCAAAGGCGAAAGGGACGTTGGACCTCACAGAACACCATTTTGTCTCTTTCAAAAAGCACATGGTAGAAGAGCAATGGGAAGAGGCAGATTGAATCTCTATCCAGTCAACGATAGTCAAGGAGAGATCGTATAAGGGATTATATTGTGCACTTGCACGATATTTCACGTAACTTGTCTTGAAAAGAATACCATAACAAATGAGAGTATGATCAAAAGAGCTGTATAGAACTAGTTGGAGACTATACTTCCCAAGCAATGAATCTGTTCTCCATTATACAGGCGGTGACAAAAATAATAAAAGGTACATGTATCCATGAGTGAGTCTTATTCACCTGACCAAGTAGATATCCTCACAGGTAACATAGAATACCCCAGGAAGTTGAAGAAGTTGTTATTCAAGAGAACATTTGGAGGGACCTAATTGTAAAGCTTGAACCCCTCTAATACGCCCAGACAGGGTAGGTACATGTATCCTGTCACTAGTACGTACCTGTCTTGGATAAGGACCTCCAGGTACTGTGGATCTCAGTTCAAGTGACGCAAAGCCACAACGCACCGCCAACGCGGGGCATCTACTAGAGGCAGGTACCTCTGCTTAAAGGTACAGCTGCAGCCTTGCAACAACTTGTAATTTACAATAAAACAATTTACCAAACTACTTCATAAACTTCACAACTTCCTTCCTATTATCTTTCCCATTTGGCACAGTTAAGCACCAATCAACAAGATGGATGTGGCAGATCCAAATCCTCTGCTTTCATCACAGAAGTCTTCAGACTCTGGACTCCAGGCCGTTCTTCATCCTCTCGTCCTTCTCACAATCTCAGATTATATCACACGACATACCCTGAGAGCCCAGCAGGGGCCTGTGGTTGGCGCTCTAATAGGACAACAGAATGGAAGGGAAGTTACTATCGAGCATGCCTTCGAGTGTGCCACTATTGCTAAGGATGGCAATATTCTTCTTGATGCCAACTGGTTTGCACAGCGATTAGAGCAGAGTATGCTACCCTATCTATTTACTGTAAGGTTGTAGTTACTAACCGTGAATTATATAGTGAAAACAATACATAAATCTCCCCAACTCGACCTTGTCGGCTGGTATACCGTCTTGCCCAAGAGTGGCCCGACTCTATCCATACTCCCTATTCACAACTGGATCCTATCAGAGCATAATGAGTCGTCTCTTCTACTCGGATTCCACCCCGAAGAGGCAGTCCAACAGGCAGCAGGAAGCAAGCTCCCCCTAACCATTTACGAATCCAACTATGAGGTTGATGAACCGAAAGCAGATCAAGGCGAGGACAAAGAGATGCGAGACGGAGACCCCCCTCTCAAGTTGAAATTTAGGGAGCTACCCTATTCGGTAGAGACGGGTGAGGCGGAGATGATAAGCATGGACTTCGTAGCTCGTGGTGTTGGAAATGCCACGGTGGTCGAGCCCAGGCAGCAGAAGAAACCAGAGTCAGACCCGAAGGGCAAACAGCCTGCGAAAGCGACGGAAGCTCAAGATAAGGACGAGAAATCAGAAGAGCACATACTGACAAGCGAGGACGAGGAACTAATTGCGGCACTCACGGCCAAGGCAAATGCTATCAAGATGTTGCAATCTCGCGTCAACCTTCTTACAACATATCTCGAACGACTACCCCCGTCCTACCTATCTCCGAACAACGCGACGGACCTCTCCGAGGGTCAACAGACGACTCCTTCACATACAATCCTCCGATCTATCCAGGCCCTCGTCAACAGACTACCGCTACTAGTACCATCCAACACGAATGCTTACGAAGAGGAGATGATCAGCGAGGCCAACGATGTACACCTGATGGAGCTCCTAAACGAGGTGCTCCAGAGTATCACAGAAGCCCGCGATGTCGGCAAGAAGCACAGTGTTGTCGAGAGCACGAAAGCCCACTACAAACGAATGCTAGAAAATTCGGCACCCCTAAGCTTTGGTCATTCTAATCCGGGAGACCTTGCGATTTGATAAGCAACATTACGTAGTTGTTAGGGGATAGGCGGCCATTCAGGGCGAGGTGCACTTTGCAATATGGTTCTTTGCATCCGCAAGGCGTTTTAGAGGTTAGGTTAAGCAAGTTGTGTGCTGGGCAACGACTCAAAATCGAGCTACGACGGGATTATGATATCAATAGGTCTTTGAGTTAACAGTAAGGCTTATTGAGGTTCACGATGAACTGAAAAGAGTACGAGGCAAATGATTAATGGATTAGTTTATGAAATCGTCGGGCCCATTAAAACTATGTGACAATTATTGATCCGCTTCTGCTAGTCATCATGGTATTACCACCTTGTCGGGGAGACTTGAAAAATGAAAATGAAGAGAAGTTGAGATTAACTAGCCGAGTTGCAAAGTCGGCATCCCTGGGATATAAACGACAGAATATCTGCACCCAATGCGAATGCTGCGAATAATCTCCAGTTCGCAACACACCAGCCCAGCCTCAATGGCACCAGTCTACCCATCCCATGCCTTGTCGTGATGGAGCAAAGTGATAAAATGACAATAAAAAGATAGACATGTAAGAAAATATCTCGGCGCAGCCGGTGAACTGATGTCGGATGTGCTTCTCAGTTCGAAAATTATTGCAGTACTTTTCATTACCAGGCCATCAAGCCGTTCATAAAAGTTTTTGCTTCCCGAATCACCAGTGCAATGTCGCCCAAGCTTCTAAATGCTTTTTTTCTTTTGCTTCGTCGATATTCTATGTTGTTGTTGTTGTTGTTGTTGTTGTTGTTGCTGGAGTTCGTTTTTCGAAAGAAAAGAGATAGGGGAAGGATATCCATGATGGTCAAGTAGACGAGGAAAATTAAGCCTCGATGACGACTTTCAACACGAGATTGCCATCATCATCCATGGTCCTGCTAGCAAGTTCGAAAGCATGTTTTGCAGCACCGAGACCTTTGAATCGATGGGTTACCATGTCGTCGAGACTTGGTAAGGTGAAGCCAGCTCTACCCTGCCCCTGAGTAGAGAGTAGTCTTATGCCGGTTCCGTATGTATTCGCATATCGGAATATTCCCAGGATATCTACTTCTCTTAGATGTGCAGCAGACATTGGAATTGTCTGAATTGGTGTGCCCATACCCACCATGATGACTTTACCACCAGGACGAGTAGCGTAGAGGCTAGTATGCATACAAGCTTCCTTTCCAGTACACTCAAACGTTACGTCAACGCCTTCGTCTTCATCATCGTTTTGTAGACTTGGAGGCGCCCTCGTTAAGGATAGTATATCAGCTGCGAGACCTTTCGCGGTTTCGAGACGGTCGTGAATTGAGTTGGAAAATAAACTTGCTGGTGTCATTGCTCCAGGATCCAGGGGGGTGGAGCTTCCTGAATCTGTGAATACGGAGCTACCAGATGAAGTATTTGACTGATTAGGAACAACGAAGCCATGGGTAGCGAAGCCCTTTTTAAGTGCATAGTTAACGCGGCCGGCGTCCACATCAGTGATGGTGACTGAAGTGCAACCAGATTGACGTGCCATCGCAGCAGTCAAAAGTCCAACTGTCCCAGCACCAATGACCAGAGCTGTAGAGCCCGGCGTGGGAGTAGCGCGATTTACAGCATGGATAGCAACGGAAAGGGGTTCAAGCAAGGCAGCGGCTTCGAAGGAAACTTGATCTGGTAGTCTAACAAAATAGTTAGTAACAGCATATAGGTACGAGATTGGCAAATAGGGGTTCGCCCGTACTTATGACACCAGATTGCCGGATGATTTATCCTCTCCTGAAGAGTCCCTTGGTAGTGAGGGACACTTTTGGCGCTACTCCTAAACCGCATTTTCTTGCACAGATTATACCTGCCTTTTCGGCAGATACCACACTGGCCACAAGGAACGCCAACTTCTAGAGCAACACGGTCACCAACCCTGAATCCATCGACCTGGGGACCAACAGCCACGACCGTACCGGACGATTCATGACCAAGGGACAGAGGAGCGCAAGCACATAGGTCACCATTGGCGAACTTTTTATAATATGAGACATCTGAGCCACATATACCAGTGGATTTGATAGCAATTTGTAGTTCACCAAAGCCAGGCGCCTCGATGTTTCTGACTTCCTATCGAATCAGGTTAATTACCTTACTAAATTACATAGATGTAGCATAGAAGACGGTGATGGATATTAGGAACAACTTACTAATCGCAAATCTCGAGGCCCATGCAAGACAGAGGCAGCAACCTTATTTGAGTGCTTTGAATAAACGGGTAGCTGCATTGGCGCTACATCAGCCATTGCGGAGGGCGCCATTGTTAAGTAACTACTAGTAGCGTGGGATGAAGTGGGATATGTGCCTGAGTTAGAACTAATTAAGAGCCTCTTAGATGTTTTAGACCATGAAGCATGGGATTAAAGCGTGGAGGAGTAGCAAATTTGGGGGTAAGTGAACAGGGGAGCTTGAGCTCTAGAGGGTAGATAGTCCAGGTAGTTCGTGGGATGATATGGAAAATTGAAGAAGTCGAACCAAGCCAAGCCGGCGTGTTTTGATTCTCTTGATAAAGAAAATCCGGATATAAGGGGTAAGAATTCGTGATCAAGATGTCAGCGAGTCTGACTTCAACAACTCGCGAGGACCCCCACTCCCTTATGTATTGAGGTATGAGGAAACACTATAATAGGTTACTTGTGTACATCTATGTTAATTATCCTTAGGATAGATCCTGGTGTCAGAGCAGAAGCCAGGGTCGTGTAAGGCATTGTGTGAATTTTTCCAGACCCAGTCAAACGTCAACAAGTTATCTCAAAAAGCATAGAGCGGATTTCACAATCTCGGGAAATCATATGCAAGAAGCTAGCAATGATGCGACTATATCAAGTTCGGTAACGAGATCCCTGATGGCGCCTCGCGTATGGGTGTAGTGTAGTCGTAGGCATGTATTCTTGCATATCCCGTACCTATACATTCAATACCAACTATACTTGCAGACAAGGCTGGCAAGTTAGGACGTGGCATCACGTATGTATGAAATCGCAATTTGCGGCACATGGTTGCACTTCACACCATGCCAACCATCGACCTCCTCCTGCTTCTCGACGTACATGTATGTAGAGAAGTAGCTGAGATGGCCCATTGAGACGGTAGTATAGCTATAGTTCCGTGAAAAACTGGATATACTGTAATCTGTCCTTCTTAGATGGGTGTGCAGTATACCTAGGTAAGTATCGACGCCATCTAACCTAGCGTCTACTCTAGGAAGTGAAAAGCAGCTCTTGATTCGGCGAATTCGGAAGTGTCTCCTAACCGCGGCATCGAGTCGGGATTGAATCAGTATTGGCTTCGGATCAGGGACTGAATATTCCTTAGATAGGACTCGAAGAGGGCTAGCGGGATCGATAACTCCACTAACACTGCGCCAGGAGAGGTTAGACTGGGTTTAGAGAGACTGACTAGAAAAGACGGGAGGTATTTCGCCGTCATCCTGATATTAAAAATTCATGAGATAATAATTAGATTAATAGATTTGGGGAAGACCCTGAAACCCTGGGATATCGAGCTAACTAGTCCGATATAAACAAGGAAACAAGGATATATGATTTCCAAACATACGGGACTGTCCTTCGGTCCATGCAATTGACCAGAATAGGTGTCTTACAGCATGTCAGAGTAAGAGTGGTGAGGGCAAGAGAAGATGTAGGGAATAAAAATGGAATTCAAAAGCGGAGCTTGGATTTCCTAATCGGGGCATCCTCAAAGCTTTGAGTATGCATTGCACCTACCTGCCTACCACCTATGTGCCTTCCAATTATATAAGTCTCATATGTATATATACTACCTAGGTAACTTAATGATTCCGGAGCTAGGAAGGAGCATCGTCCCAAGAACCGTCAAGAAGTTAAAAGCGTCGTCGTTTCCATCCAATAATCTTTAACTTGCTCGGTGGAACGTGGTGGAACATCATTACCACTTAAGTTAGATGTTCTGTCCGTTCCCAACTTGTCTTCTACTACCACCTAAGAACCAACAACTTCTTATCGTATTATGATTGTCGTCAATAGGACTTGAATTACCCATTCAACTAAACTATCGGCTTCTAAGGGCCTAGGCGTCTCTTGTTAGGTCTATTAGGAACTATTAGCCTAGGAGCACGCCTGTCATGCTACGAGCTCGTCTATGCGATGTTTCTCCAAGAATCTATTTTGCCGCTACCCCTGGGCCTGCAGCAAGATGCTCGCACATGGCAGCAGGGACAGCAACAAACGAGCGCAACGAAAAGGAGCCTCCCCTGTCTATAGTATTGCGCACCAAGTCTTCGACATTATCAACTACGTAGGCTAGAGTCAAACTACATGCTTGAGCGACGTGGGCTAGATTTCGTCTATTGCGCAATCATAACTTGGACACGATGTACTTACACACGTTGGTTAATGCTCGTGTTCTACCTATCAGAACTTATAGTTCCATGCCGTGTGCCTGATGTCGTCAACTTGTTTTTTTATTTTTTTTATGGCGCTAACACGACATGAATATAGTATGCTCCCTACCTAAGCCGCATATTGCAACTCTCTCGTACTACAGGAACCACGACATCATTTTTCACATGCTCCATCAAATTTTCTTCAAAGCTACGATATGCAAGAAAAAGGAAAAGGAAAAAAAAAAAAAAAAAGCACTGCTAGCGTCGGCAGAAGGTACAGAAGTCCCTCACATCTTATTAAGAGTCAGCTCTAGGAAACACCATTATCGCAACCGACTCGAAACTAGTTCGGAGTTGTGGCCGGCATTCCTGCATCCAAGTGGTGATCAACTGCTGGGGCCATGTCGTGTTACTGTGATTCGGTTTTGCGCAGATCTGTCTGTCCATTGACAGAATTCTGGGCGCGCCTCTATACAGCCAATTGAGCTTTGTCGACAGTCATTTCGGAAGCCGGAATGCTTTTCCCTTTACTACATACAGTATCACGCAGTTGGTATCTTATCATATTTTGCCAATCTTCGACAGATAAGTGATGAAATGGTCCCGTTGCCCCAATTGACTGTTTTGAGGGGTTCCGTCCCGCTGGTCAGAATTGGAGAAATTGGAGATCATACATCCAACTCCTTCACCATGAGCGTGTGGGTAAAGTATATTCTGAGATTGGTCTAGACCTAGCAATTCACCGTCTTTTGATACTTTGTTTACCCTGTTTTCCGAAGAAGCTAGGCATATTACAAGCTGTCTTATTACTCCGTAAATGGATCTTCAAGATCCATGAGGCTGCGCACATGCAACGCAACGGGGCTCTCGGGAGCAATTTCGGCGGTAGGGTTGAATAAGCTTCTCTACGCCAAGTTGTAAGACAACGGGACGGGCTTAGAACATCTCGGAACTGCAAGCATGTCTTCTCCATACACCATTATCCAACAGAAAGGACGCCGTGAAACGCCCGTACGCCACGTCGACCGATCTCGCTGAGGTTGTGATAGGTCGTTGCGCAGCTAAGCTTTGTGCTCAAAATGGCTCGTCGATGGTGAAGTATATTTACCCCGGTCCTACTGACAATAGTTTATTTTACTCTGGAGCATTCCAAGCTACACTCTGATAACGCAACGGTTAAGGTTGATACAATCCCAATCCCCTAGTTAAAGGATTGCCATACAGCCTGGATGTCTTATACAGAGTTACATCTTACCCACAAGACCGGGCCAGCACTACTTAACTCCCCGACTTTGGCCATATCGACTACTTAAATACGATGATGTCGAACTACCGAGGTTGAGGTCCATGGTAGGTTACCCAGCATTAGCGGGTTACAAAACTACCATGCATGTCTTCGCACAAATTCTCTAGCCTTTGGTGCTTATCTGGACATACCTGGAGTTATTTTTATCCCGCTTACATATCTCTCAGCGGTTTCATACAATATTTGTGTCGTATTACATGAATGATGCGAGTATGTCTGCTATGACGCTTGCTAAGCATTCACTTCGAACGGAGGTTGACAGCATCGCAAGCTAGCGAATTTCGGGCCGGCTAAAGGCTTTAATGCGTAGTCAATCAGCCACCTTATCGATCGAATGACAACATTTGGATCGTGAATATACCTGTCTCTTAAAGACAACGCTATAACACCATGGCTCCAACGGCATCTTAATGAAGTAGCAACGAAGCTGATAAAGCAAACGATATACAACAGTACCAGTAGCATGGCTGTGCATGTACGTGTACATACCTAGTATGTATAGGCCAATTGCCCAAGGAGGCGCTGTATATGGCCCTATACTCAATATCGTTTTAGTATCCCTAACGCAAGTAAGTGTCCTATGCAGGCATGTAAAGAATATCTGCACCTTGTTGGATATTGGTATAGCCGGAAGTATGTGACTACGCATATTCACCATCGCCACTTAGTATAGCGTCCATTTAGGAGTTGCGTTCTGAATATGGAATTGCTGCTGCCACTGCCGCTGCCGTTGCCTCTGTTTCCATGCTTCCATCTTTGGTAGTTTTACGCACTACCCCCAACTTAACCCCACGATCAACAATATCGAGACTACCGGCAGACTATAGAAATCATGATCGGCTCAGCTTCGTCATAACTCTTGGTACCAACTATATGCAGCAGTGTCCACTTTCGGCTGAGGAGGCAAAAACAGTTAGATCTGACGATATATCCACGAATACATGTATAGATTGTAAACCTTAACACATTGGATTGAGGTTTTTTAACCTAAAGGTTAGTATGCATAGGAAATGTGCCATGCATGCATGTCTAAGGTAGCTTGTGTAGCTCTCCTACACGGTTATCGAAGCAAGAAGACGATGATCCGAGCTCTCGAGGGCAGCGGGGGTACGACGATACTATATATTGCATTCCATGTGGCTACCCGCTGACGCCATACACAAATTTCACATCCAGGGAGTAAGAATACGAAGAGGATAGTCGTGCCGGCACATAATTATATTGATCTTGCTAGGCTTACATGAGGATTGATTGGTGGTGAATCACTAAAAAAAATATTTGCCACCTTATAGCTCCATATTGGTGTGAGCTGCAGATACGCCACTATATAGGAAATACCGGTCGTCCAGAGAGATCTGACGAGAACATGATGAACGTGCATGAGCGATGGCCGCATGAAACAGGCTACTGCGAGCGCCGTATCTTGCATCCTTGCATCCCCATACTACCGTAGTACGGCTGGGCGCCGCAGATACCGTCGCACCGAAACGGTAGCCGAGCAAGCTTTCTACGTCCGGTCGTGCTCGGAATATGATGCTACTTTCGGGGTGATACCAAGGCATCGTAAGGGTTTGCTGCTCCTTACCAGGTACATATATGATCTGTAATTTTCAGGATCACGGCGGAGGAACAGGCGAGAAGGGACCAACTAGCCAAGGAGAGCAAGCATGCAAGCTACGCTTCTAATTTCATTGAACGCCGGAAAAAACCGGGTTGGGATCAAGGGTTATGGGAGAACGTCCCACGTACATACATACAATGGCTACATAGGTATACGACGACAAAAGTTTTTCTTCGTTGCGGTGGGGAGAAAGGGGGCAATTCCGGTTTTTATTAGTAACCCGTCTCCTCGATAAGTCAGTTTCGTTTGTGCCGATGTCTTAGAATGTGCTCGTTGCCAACCGACTCGCAGCATTTCTGGCATCCACGCGGTCCTCATCATCCTCCTCTGTAAGGCCGACCAGGCTCGGATTAATGGTGGTGCCGCTGAGCGCCCTCGACCCCGGGCGCTGTGCGTTCTCTCCGTCGTCCTCGGCCACGTTGGACATGAAGCTACCCGACATACTCCTATTATCCGTGCGCCGGGGCACGCCGCTCCAAGAGTCGCCCTTGGGTCCCTGGCTTGCTGCAAGGCTGGAACGGCGGATTGTTGGGTGAGCCTCGCGCCCTAGTCTGCTTAGGCCGCCTGAGGCGTCGATGGCTCTGATGTCGGGCCGAACGCTCTCCAGGAGCGCGAGGGTGCGCCGCTCCGCCTCGATCTCGCGAGTCACGAACTCGCGGATGCTCAGGCGCAGATCCGCGGCGGTTCTTGCAAACCACTTACGACGCTCCTGCACTAGCGTCTGCGTTACCCTTGATGTCTTCTGCGCTAGCTCTAGCTCGACATTTCTCGCTTCGTCTAGAGCGGTGATGGCCTCATCTACCTTATCCCGTCGCACGGTGTTGCTGGCTCTTAGCCTGTCTGCAGCGTTAAGCTTGGTCCTCGTAGTCTCCTGAGCTTGTAGGAATTCGCGAATGAGTAGTTGCCTATTCGTCAGCGTCTCCTTGACGATGAAGGCATCCTGCGAGTGATATTGAAACGGGTCACTAAGAGTTGTGGCTTCGGCAGTCGCTTGGGCTGCATGGTAGTCGCCCACTGTCTGTACGATCTTGCCGAGTTTCCGATATGCGTTTGCCAGACCTTGATGCGGCTCCTGAATGTGCATTGCACCAATTTTGACGCCGAAATCGGACTCTGATAATCCTAGGCCTAATTGCCATGTTAGCTATTGATAATCTCGTAGAAAATAGTAGATGTACCTCTACGGGACTTGACGAGTTTGTCAACCTTGTGTCCCGCATCCATCGAGCCTAAATAGAATAGCTTCACTATTGGTCGTGCTTCTGCTAGCTCCGGTGTGTCGTCGGGGGGTGGTGCAAATTGCTTCAATACTTTCCTCCGCACACCCGTTGCTGGCTGCTTCTTCTTGACCATGGGACTATACCCGAAATCACTTTCCACAAACAAAACCATTTCGTCATCCCTCATAAGAACCTCATTACTACACACGTAGTTGAACCATCTCTGCATGAGAGCTTTTACCCTCGACTCGTCTTCATCGGTTCCGGCGCCTGCCGATGTAACCGAAGGCGGCACAGCCGGGACTAGGGCATCGGGGTTGGCAGATATGAGATGTTCGGCGAGTTTAACAAACTCGGAATGTAAACGGCGGACATCGCGGAATTGGGTAGTTCGGAACTTGGGGATATTCGTCTAGAGAAATTAGTATTACAAGGCGCAAACACTCTTCGTTGAAACTTACATGTACGTCAAACCTCAAGATAGGATCTTTGCGACCCGTGCGCTCCAATCCTGTGATCTTTGCTTGCAACTTGTACTGAGGGCCTCTTGACCTTACTTGTGGTTGCGATTTCGGCGGCGTGCTCGGTTGAGGTTGAGGCTGAGGTTGCTTCGCGTCGGCTTCGGCAGGCTGTTCCTGTTGTCCTTCCGAGGGCGCTGACTGCTCTGAGGGATCATATGCCGATGTAGAAGCCGTGCTACTGGCCGTGCCTGGTCGTCCGAAAGCGTTAGCGCCTGGGTCATCATGCGCGAATCCATTGCTCGAGTCGTTGGCTGTATATTGATATGGTAAAGACGGCGGTGGTTCGTTGCCTATAGAGCTGAAGGTAGATTCGTTGCGGCGCGGTGAGGCCGCGGGCGATGATGAATCCCAAGGGGAAGCGCCTGCGGGGTGCTCATCATCGGCTATCGTAGAGCGGTAATCCATTGCGTCCTGGAAGAGAGCGGCGGCTGGAGGAAAGGCTGGTAGAAGTTGATAGGTCCAGCGGGAGAGTAGGATAGATTTAGATAAGGGGTCGCATTCCACAAAATTTGCTAAGCGGCAATAGTTGATTGTAATAATCAGAATGTGCAGGTCTAAACTGCAACATCAATGCTCGAGCTAGTTCATCAAAACTAGCCGAGAGCAAGCAATAACTAGGAAGCTTGGATAATGAAGTCAGACACGGGCTGCCTTCGAAAGTAGAACTAAAATCATCATCGGTGGGGAATCTTGTCGTCTGCCTATGTACATGTATGTACATAACGTCGTACGTCTAGGTACTTTGCTACCTCTTGTATGGATGCACCTACCCTAAAATGTAGCCGTGTACCAAGTACATTAGATTAGGTACTCAAGCACTGGTCCGTGCGCAATTAGGTAATTGTTGGCTTGCTGGCTTGCTGGTTATGTACAGAGGTATTATTCCTTAGCGACTTTTACTTCATTGGTCTATGCACTTTATACTGAATTGCAATACTTTTTGCAAGAGAACCTTGGAAGTATATGATAGGTACATGTACCTAGGTTAGGTAAGTATTTTTCTTCATAAACTTCTCCAACTCTAACAAAAAGTTAATTGCAACAACAGGAAGCTGCTCAAGCCGTGTGCTTGTAGAAACCGAGTCTGTCCATTGCCAGTTCTTGATAGTCTACCCAGTAATGAACCAGGCATTCGCTTGGAATCTGCGGGTATGAGCTTACTCGTACTCACGTGCCGAGCTCCCCTGGGGTGCTCTCAGTTGGCTATATTCTCGTCAACATACTTGAGGCACTATGGAAGGACACGCTTCAGTGTCAGACGGCTCTCGAGCCATACAGCTACTCCCCGGGACACTGGCATTGAGTATGTCCGAAATATAGGTATCATTGCCCACGTCGATGCAGTATGTTTCTTATGGAAATAAGTATTGTCTTATATACCCTGATACTCACGACTATATAGGGGAAAACAACTACTACAGAGCAGATGCTCTATAATTGCGGGGCTTTAAAACGTGCAGGAAGTAAGTTGTTAGCTATGTATCATCTATGTCTAGGTTCCCCTGAAGAAGGAGGAAACAAGTCAAGTAGACGTTCGTTCTGACATATTATGACTGATGCGTGCCCTAGACGTTGATCAGGGAGACACTGTGACCGATTTCTTGCCAATGGAGAGACAGAGAGGAATTACAATCCAATCTGCTGCCATTACTTTCAGCTGGCCATCAAAAGAACGCCTAGACCCAGATGGTCAGCAATATATCATTAACCTGATTGATACCCCTGGTCATGTGGATTTTAGATTTGAGGTCGAGCGCTGCATACCCATTCTCGATGGGGCCGTATGCGTCATTGACGGAGTCGAAGGTGTTGAGGCACACACAGAGAGAGTCTGGTCGTCAGCTCAAGAATTCAAGGTGCCTCGAATTGTCTTCGTTAATAAACTCGATCGCGATGGTGCTTCGTTTAAGAAGTCCGTGCAAGACATCGGGCTGAAGCTCAATGGCATGCCATTAGTCTGTCAGATACCCTGGTGGCAAAATGAGACTGTAAGAGGCATAGTAGATGTAATCAGCCGTTCTGTCGTCAGTTGGATGGGAACCGAAGATTCCCCTGAAGAATTGTCAAAGAGACTACCCGAGGGCACAATCAAAGATGAGATCGAACGCGCACGGGAGCGCCTGATTGAACAACTCTGCGAGAAAGACGACGAGCTGATGGAATTGTGGACTGCTCACGGAAATGATCTGCCTGACACAGCTATCAAAGAGAGTATGCGCCGTGTTGTTAATACCGGCGATGGGTCTATAATACCCGTTTTTGCAGGATCTAGCTTGAAAAACATCGGCATCGCCGCTCTACTTGATGCGATCACAGATTACCTGCCTAGTCCCTCAGATCGTCCCGAGCTCAAAGTCCGGGTAGGTCGAACATATCAATCCCTTAGTCACGTCATTCAAGCACCGAAGCCTTCTAAGAAGCCTCCGCCGCGTGTCGAAGCATTGGCGTCGGTTTTCAAAGTAGTCAACGACCCCCGTCGAGGAATGCTCACATTTGTGCGGGTTTACTACGGTGCTCTGAAAAAAAACACCCGCATGTGGAATACTAATCTTCAGCAACTTGAAGGCTCTCTCAATATGATGCAAATATCAGCAGGGAAAACTATCGAGATACCTCACCTAGCTCAAGGGCAAATAGGTGCAATCACGGGTCTGAAGGCTGCAAGGACTGGAGACACCTTACTTGCTTTTAATTCACATTCAGCACCACAGACAGAACTCGCTACTATACAAGTACGACCGCCTGAAATACCCCCCGCTGTGGCTTTTATTGTTCTCGATGCGTACAACCCGACTGGTGCAAAGGCCCTCGAGACGGCCTTAGAGAATCTCTCTAGGGAAGATCCGAGTCTGCGGTGGTCCAAAGATGAAAAAACAGAGCAATATACACTCTCTGGGATGGGTACGCTTCACTTAGAAGTTGCTCGTGATCGTCTGGAGAACCATTATAAAGCCGAAGCTTACTGGGGTGATATCTCTGTTGACTACAAAGAGTGTTTGACCGCGCCGACAGCCCCTCATCAAGCTATTTTCGATGGGGTGGTAGCAGGCAAATCTGGTAAGGCGACATGTTCCGTAGTAATTGAGCCTCTGCAAGAGGATCATAACGATACGTTATCAGGAACCCACCTCGAGCGAGACGGCAACATCATTCAGGTCGTGTTTCCAAAGGAGGCTCTCGTACCTAATATTGAGGAAACAAGGCAACATCTCACGAATGGTGTAATATCAGCACTTGCGAGAGGTCCTCGCCGCAATTCACCAATGCACCAGTGCCTTGTTACAGTCACGTATGATGCCTCGATCAATTCCAGCTCAACTCCAAGCTCACACCTAGTCGGTGCAGCGAATAAAGCAGTAAGATCGGCTCTCAAAGAAGCGCACCAGCAGGGGATGATTGGCATTCTCGAGCCAGTTATGAGGGTCACAATTGTCTGCCCCGAAGTGTCAGCGGGGGCCGTTCAGCACGACATACATACAGGTCGCGGGGGGCACGTCCTCGAAGTCAGGGATATGCAAGAAACCCAAGCTCAAGAAGGCGATATCGTCAACGTATCCAATATCTACGCCCCGCCAGACCCATACGAGTTCCAAACGACACTTCGGGAGACGCGGAAGGGCCGTCTGCGGATGCTGGAGATTACAGCTCGGGTACCGTTTGTAGAGATGCTCGACTACGATACCCAGCTCAGGGGAAAGACCCAGGGACGTCATACCTTGACGATGGCCTTGGAGACTTTCGAGAGAGTTACCGGTCCAAGAGAGAAGGCCCTCTAGTCTATCTCGATTGGGTACCTTGCATAGGCATTCCTTGTTTATCAAGGGGATACAGTTCAATGCCCTAGTTAGGTAGGCAGCCTTAGCTATGGAAATAGTATATACCTAGTTAACTACTACCATTACATATGCCACAGAGGCTTTGATTTGGGTTGGAAATTAAGGGACGTACACTTTCTTAGATGCATTCCTTAAGAATGGAAATCGACTGCCAACACTGTCAGGATGGCGGGTCTAACCCTAAATAATCCAATACATGGAACCAATAGTTCTAGGCAAGTACGAGATTTAATCCTCAGCCTGACCTTCTTGAGTTAGGATTAGCTGCAGGCTGCAGCTGCAGTTGCCGCCACGCTGGTCTCCCTGAAACACACGTGCTTTTGTTCGTACCCTATTAGTTAAATAAAATCTGGTAATTTTGTAACGACACCTTGCTTCAATGTTAGGCTAGTTGCGCGGCATAGCGCATTGCCCCGTGGCTGTGATACAGTCCCAGCCGTGTTAGAACCCGGTCGCAATTCTATAAACTTATAAGATAACGCTTCGTTAACATAGAAGATTAATTAACTATACGATATCCTTAGCGTCAGATGGGGGGTTGCGGTAGCCGTATATATATAGTATATATACGGCTCTTAAGTATAAGCCGCTCTTAAATATTAGTAAAAAACGTAAAGCTTACCAAATTTTTACATATTAGCGTTATGAGCTAATTAATATTTTTAAGCGGTATATATGCAGCTACTGCTACCCCCCCTAAGACGTTAAGGATGCCTGTTAGTAAACTGGTGTAAAAACTGCCTTACCTCCTCGAGGATATTACATGTCACATATCATATTACAACCTTAACAGACAACCACTCGTGCAAACGGGATCAAGGCGTTTAAGGCTCGCAAGCTGATCTCTAGACTCTAGTTCGCTAGGTACTCCAACAACTCTCTGGTCTTAATATGGCCAGTTAGTTCTGCCCGCAAAACGATGAGATGTAGCACAACAGCTACCTGACAACCCAACGCCAGGCATACACGTCAGGCTATGTTAACAAGGCGACCGTTACCTAGGACCTACCTAGGTAGGTAGGTAGCTCCTCAACTTGATACAATATACCTAAGTAATTTTCTTCTATTCCTACGACCATATTTAAGTATCCCCTCCTACGGCTTTTTTACACACTCATACCTACTGTGATCTTGTCCACCCAAAACACCACAATTGCGGCACAACTCAACTTCACTAATCAAATCATTTGACACATCTGATTGCACAACAAACATCCTTCAAAATGCGCAGCATCGACGAGAGCACTACGCTCGAGGAGAAGTCAAGCCTTGGAAACCTCTCCATCCTAACTAAAGTCGACAAGCTACGTGAGCTTATCGGAACCAGGATTGCCCTACCTCAGGTATGTTTCTTTCTTCTGTCGCCAGAGAAACTCGATATCAAATTGCTAACATTTTCTAGCTCGTAGTTGTTGGAGATCAGTCATCAGGAAAGAGCTCAGTGCTCGAGGGTCTGACCCATTTCGGGTTTCCTCGTGATGCAGAACTCTGCACACGCTACGTAACCCAAATCACCTGTCGCCGCGAGAAAGAGGAAAGCATACACGTTTCCATCATCCCTCATGATGAAGCCTCTACTTCTGACCAGGCGCGTATCAAAAAGTTCCATCACACCCTAAAAGCGATAACCCCCGAAAGTCTTGCCCAGTTATTTACGGAGGTCAGTTAATGTTATTCTTGAGGTCTTATGAATCACTACTAAACTACCGCTCATAGGCAAATGAAGCCATGGGAATAAAGAGTTCTACAAAGTCTACATCGACCGATGGTTCCAGTCTTCCGGCATTTAGTGAACATATACTCAAGATCGAGAAGCTTGGCCCAGAGGTGAGTCCTATGGTGTAGTATAACATATATACTAAGGGGCATATTGCTAACATAACAACGCTAGGAGGACCACTTCACGGTTATCGATGTTCCTGGAATCTTTCGAAAAGAGACTGAGGGTGAGACTTGGTTTTATTCAACACACCGGCCGCGCAGAAACAATACTAACAAATGTCTAGGTGTCACTACCGAGGCTGATATAGAGCTTGTCATGAATATGGTGAAGAATTACAGTATGTTTTCTCTAACATCTCAAAAGCTAGGATATAACATACTGACTTGGCGCTTTAGTGAAGGATCCGAGGACCATGTAAGTTGCAATCCACGTTCTAATAATAGGGCTCAGCTAATATAGTTACCCCTTTCAAGTATATTAGCGATCATGCCTAGCAACGTCGGTAAGTATCCAGAAGCATCACGTTCTCTTTTTAATGATATTTTACCATTCCCTTTCGGAGAACATGCGCCTTACTAACGTGATTCTTTTTTCGAGATCCGGCGACACAAGAAATATTGAAGCTAGCTAAACGAGCCGATCCCTCGATGGCTCGTACTATGGCCGTTCTGACAAAACCGGACTTGGCAATTGAAAGTACAATGCAGCAGATTGCCATCGACCATGTTACTGGCAAGAGGGGAGACCTTTTGCTTGGATATTACATCGTCAAGAATCGTGGTCCCGACGACGCACATAAGACACTCAGACAAGGTCAGGCCGATGAGAAAAGGTTCTTCTCCCAGACCCCTTGGTCATCTCTTCGGGGTACAGAAAGGTCTGGCGTGGAAGCGTTGAGGAAGCGTGTTCGTGAGCTTCTTGTCGAGCTTATCAAGAAAGAGTTTCCAAAACTTAAAGCGGATGTTGCGAAGGAGTTGTCAGCATTAAGGTCAGAACTCAACAAGATGGGCCAATCGAGAGGTCATCAACATACGCAGAGAGCGTACCTCAACAAGATAAGCGAGGCATTCCAGGCCCTAGTCCGAGATGCTCTCAATGCATACTACACCGGCAATAAGATGTTCGAAGAAAGACACGATCTTAGGCTTATTACGCGCATCGTTGAGGCGAATGAAAGCTACTCGGATGCCATGTTAAAGAATGGACACACCTGGCCTTTTGCCTCCGACTTAACGCCCGAGGAGAAGGGCAATGAGAAAGTACGCATACCGGCTGTTAGTCTTGCTCGTACTCACGTGGTTCCCAACCCTGACGACGGCACCTACCCCGAACTTGAAGAGATTTTGAATGATTCTCAAGACTCTCTAGACGGTATCATGGAAGAAGTTAGCGGTGAAGGCGATATCATGAACTATATCGCAGGAGTTTATAAAGATAGTCGTGGACAAGATCTTGGAACAGTATGTACAGCGCAATACTTATGATATCTTATTCAACTAACATGTTCGATAGTTTGGTGGCGCCCTTGTTTCAACCATGTTCAAGGAGCAGTCGAAGAAATGGAAATATATTACGCTGGATTACGTGAACCGAACCATTTGGATTGTTCACCATTTCATCGTCGAGGCTATCAAAGAAACCTGTCCCGACAAACGCGTCCGTGAAGAGCTATGGAATGGACATCTTCTGGATGAGCTACAAGATGCCTATCGTAAGGCTGTCGACCATGTGATGTTCCTACTCGAAATTGAGCGTGACGGCTCCCCCTTGACGCTCAATCATTATTTCAATGACACCCTCCAAAAGGCTCAGAGCGGCCGTTTGGTGGATGCTCTTCGACAGCTCGGAACAGAGAAATTGCTAAACATATCAGATGGGACCAAGCCCGGCTACCATTCAGAGAAGGGTATATTCCTAAACGATGTACAAATGAACAATTTGTCTTTCAATATGGCCAACTCGGAACATGTTCAGGAGTATATGCACGACATACTTAAGAGCTACTACAAAGTCTCTCGTAAGCGATTCGTCGACGTCGTTTGCCAACAGGTTGTCAATCACTATCTATTGCAAGGGAAATGCAGCCCACTCAAGATCTTCAACACGGAGATGGTGCTGGACCTCACCGAAGAGCAGCTAGACATGATCGCAGCGGAAGATACGCCAGTCAAGCGACGCAGAGAGAAACTTGGGCGCGACATTACTAACTTCCAGGAAGCCCTGAAAGTTTTGAAAGGTTCGGGTTGAATCAACCAGGGAGAAGCTGACAAGTGGAGGGCGTAGGTTACGCTGATCTTGAGATTCTCTTCTTATGGGGTCTTATTTAATCCGGATAGGCGGTGCTGCATATGCATAGCACGCTATTAGGGCAGCTCCTTTTTGCAATATATGCAGCAAGCTTTGCCAGTTTAGATGTAGCAAATGTCATGACAGCTCCCCTAGCTCTATATCCCATTTATTGGGATTCTAATAGACTGACGGAACAATTTATAAAGAACTCCATACTTGCTTAGCTTGTTGTGTTAAGTATACGTGTGAAGTGAGTAAGAACATAGACTTTTAACATCTAACCTAGGGTTTAGCTACATCGTGTATTCTCCTAGTCAAGGATATGTAACAATGGACTGAATGGATCAACTGAGGGGCTAAAAGCTTTGGTGGGGCAGATAAGATAGTGGGGTACCAACTAAGCTTTCTCAGACGTCTGTTTTTGCTGGAGAGCTTCAACTTCAAAACTTTCAACATTTGCCTACAACAGTTCTCGACAAGCTCTCAATCCGAACAGCTTTCGCGAACAAATACAAATGGGGCGCAAAAAGTTTCGGGTAAATATTGAATTCGATAATATCTAGTATTTGCATTAAATGGATCTAACTATTCACTATTAGGGTGGTCGCAAAGGCGGTTCCAATCGCGCTCCTCGCGGCGACGGTCCCGCGCCGTATCGATCATATAGCGAGATTGTGAAGGAGAACACAAACCTGGAAAAGTACTACAACAGCGCGCTCCCCCTCGAAGATGAAGAAAGAGCCGAGTTTTGGGAAGCATTGAAGAGGGAGCTGCCTAATTCGTTCCGTTTCTGCGGATCTAAAGGCCACGCGCTTGCGGTTAAGCGACTTTTAGAAACAAGATATGTGCCTGATATTGTTAAGATCGAGCGCTATGATGGCGAGCCCGTACAGGCCCCTCAACCAGTCCCTTGGTACCCCGACCAGCTTGCCTACTCTATGAATACCCCTAAGCATGTCATTCGCAAGTTTCCCCCCTTTGCCGCCTTCCAGAAATTCCTAGTCTCCGAGACTACCGTTGGCAACATTAGCCGACAGGAGGTTGTCAGTATGATCCCACCTCTACTGATGGACCTCAGGCCTGGGATGACTGTTCTGGATCTCTGCGCAGCGCCTGGAAGCAAGGCTGCCCAGCTACTTGAGATGGTCCACACCGGAGAGGAGACAAGAATTCAGAAGTTTATGCAGGCATTCGGTGAGGGTAAGCCAACTGTTGCCATGGACGCCGACCTTTCAGTGGATGCTGGCGACGATGGTCGCGCAACTGGACTTCTCATCGCCAATGATGCGGATTACAAGAGGAGTCACATGCTTGTCCACCAACTCAAGCGACTTTCTTCGCCGAATCTTCTCGTTACTAACCACGACGCAACTCTTTACCCGGCTATCAAGCTGCCGCCACACCCAAAAAACCCGGAGAAGGGACAGTACCTAAGATTTGACCGGATACTTGCGGACGTGCCCTGTTCAGGTGATGGAACCCTAAGAAAGAACATCAACTTGTGGAAAGATTGGCAACCCGGAAACGCGTTGGGACTTCATCTTACTCAAGTTCGAATTTTGGTCCGTGCCCTCCAGATGCTGAAAGTTGGTGGTAGGGTCGTATATTCGACATGCAGCATGAACCCTGTTGAGAATGAAGCGGTTGTCGTTTCCGCGATCGAGCGCTGCGGCGGTCCCGGCAAGATTAACATTGTCAACTGTAAAGATAGACTTCCTCTGCTGAAGCGAAGCCCGGGAATGCATCAATGGCAAATTATGGACAAGTCTGGTCGCGTTTGGAGCAGCTGGGAAGAAGTCCAGCAGCACGCCCTGACAACGGAGGGGCAAATACCCGGCAAGCTCTCAGAAACTATGTTCCCTAGGCCAGATACTAGCGAGTGTTCCGCCCTAGACCTGGACCGTTGCATGCGAGTGTACGCTCATCAACAGGATACCGGTGGTTTCTTCATCACAGTACTAGAAAAGTGGGAGGATTTTAAAGCTAAGCCAGAGGCTCGAACTCGGGCCCCCACCAATACCACCAGCTCTAATGATGCCGATAAAGCAGAAACAGAGATAAAGATAGAGATAGAAGAGGATAAGGCCGCTTTGGGTGAGCCGACTGATGTACTACCGACCATTGGAGCCAAGAGGGTTTTAGACGAGGAGGAAGCGGAGACAAAACCAGACGCCAAGAAGCAAAAGACTGCTTCGCCTCCTAGCGAGAAGCTTGAAATCCAACCTGAAGTTGTTACCGAAACAGAGCAAGCACCTTCGGAATCTAAGACAGAAGAAGTCAAGCCCGAGCCCGAAACTACTCCTCAAAATAATACCCAACCCGACCGAAAAGTCAAGCCATCCGATGGCAATTACGAAGAGCCATTCAAGTACTTGCCACCCGATCACCACGTCATCCAGGACATTCAAAGGTTCTACAAAGTATCGTCACGTTTCCCTTCAGATCGATTTATGGTACGAAATGCCACAGGTGAACCGGCAAAGGCCATCTACTACACAAGTGCGCTCCTTAGGGACATCCTATCTGAAAACGAAGGCCGTGGGGTTAAGTTCGTGCATGGGGGTGTTAAGATGTTCATGAAGCAGGACGCACCGTCTGCCGAGGTTTGCAGATGGCGAATACAATCAGAGGGTATGCCTATCATCCAAGGCTACGTCGGCCCGGAGCGCGTTATCCGCCTGACGAACAAGGAGACTTTCCGTAGACTCCTAAAGGAGATGTTCCCCAAGTTTATCGATGACGACTGGAAGAAACTTAACGAGATTGGCGAGAGGGCTAAAGAGATTGGTATGGGCTGTTGTATCCTTATCGTCGAGCCGGATGGAAGCGATCCAGATTTCTCGGAGCGCATGGTGCTTCCATTATGGAAGAGCTTCCACTCGTTGAACCTAATGCTGCCGAAGGAGGACCGGTCTGCAATGCTTCTCCGCGTCTTTAACGACACTTCGCCGGTTATTAATCGAACGTTGAAGGAGTCCGCGAAGAAGGAGGACGCAGCTGAGGCGAATGATGAGGTTAAGGATGATCAGACCATGGAAGATGTTCCCGCAGTCGAGGAAACTAATGGCGAAAATGAGACAGCCGAGCAGCATGATGAAAATAACGGCGACGAGGTAGCAGGAGACGTTGAAGTTGAGGCTCATTAAGAGATGGCTCATTACCCAGCTGGTGGCCCACCCATCGTATTAAACGATTTGAATTTATCAGGATTGATGAGTTAAAGCTTAAGTTAGTCGAGGACTTACATAACACGAAGCTATGAACGAAACGTAGACCTGTGTTGAAAATGGGCGGCTCGCATTTTTGCTTGTTATGAAGTCCATCATACGAACAGTCGCTCTATGTACATTATATACAATTTGGGATTTAGCAGCATAAAAATGTATAAAATGCAGCCATCAACGGCCCCTAAGATCTGAACTAATCTGTTCATCACTCGTCCAGCAGTCCTACTGTCCAATGTATAATTCTATCCACACCGTGTCCATGAATAGCGCTTACGGGTATCGCAGCACAGTCTTCCACCCACGCGCCCTCGACTCCGCTAGGATGCGGCTCCTGTCCATCGGTAACAGCATCTAGGTATTCTTTCAACCTGGCGTAGTTATGCTCGGTGCCCTGCAAATCGCCCTTCGTAGCGATTACAAACCACGGCTTCGCCGCGATATGCAGACCCCCTTCTCCGCCGGCCATCGGCTCCGGGAAATTCGCTACAATCATCTGTCCGCCGAAACCCATCCCGCCGCTCCTAGGGCGCGTATTCGGGGAACTGCTACCGTCCCCCTCCCAGTCGATCCGCCCCGCGATCTCCCGCTCCTGCTCTTCGTCCTCGCGCATCCGTGCGTACAAGCCTACTTCCGTCCACAGCGCCTTGAGCGCTTCTACGGCGTCGCCGGCGCTCAGATCCACGACGAAAGCCAGAACGCCTGCGCGCTCCACGTGCCGCAGGAACTCGACGCCGAGACCGCGGTCTAGATGCGCGCCTTCGATTAGTCCCGGGATGTCGGCGACGGTGAACCGTGTCCGTGGTTCTGGTGTGAAGCCTGCTGGCGCGCCGAGCTGGTCGCGTTGCGAGATTACTACTGACCCGTACTTCGCGTCGTGGATTACGGAGTGGGGTTGAGGGGGTGCGGGCTTCGGGGGAGCGACGACGGGGCGTCCTTTATGGTTGTCGAGCACGACCGTGCCGATGTTGGGCTGGAGCGTCGTGAATGCCCAGTTACCAACGCGAGCGCGGCTGTTTGATAGGGCGCGCAGGAGCGTGCTCTTTCCGGCGTTGGGGAGACCAACTAAACCGACGTCTGCGAGCAGCTTGAGTTCCAGCTCTAGCTGTAAACTTACGGCGCGCTCGCCCTTAGTTGCGAAAAGAGGCCGTGGGCGGTCTTTCGATACGAAGTGCGGGTTTCCTAGACCCCCTATTCCACCTGCAGCTAGCAGTATGGGCTGCGGCGTCGGTGTCGATAGGTCTAGATAGATGGGCCCGTCGGGTTGCACGTACAAGCGCTCGCGGCGCGGGAGGCGGGGAAGTCTTAGGTTCCGTCGCTCGGTATGTGATATCCCGGGGTATAGCAGGAATTTGTCCAGGTGAGGGTGTTCGGGAGCTTCAGGCAGTTCGGCGCGAATGGCGCCTTCAACATCTTCCGCCTCGGCAATGGCTGCATCAGCTTCCCTCACCAGTCGCATATACTCGCGCTCTTTTTCTCTTGCCTCGCGAAACCTTGCGTTTTCCTCGACAACCGGGTCTATGCGGTTGAGCTCTCGGACCACTGTCCCCACCGGCACTTGGATGACGAAATCGTCACCGCGGGCGCCGCCTCGATTACTTCCCTGCCCCGTTTTCCCCCTCCCCGCGCGCAGGACACGGCGTCGCGCCAGCTTGTACAGGGAGGTCTCGCCGTGCACGGCCTGGATATACACGTTTCCGCCATACCCGCCGTCGCCCCCGTTCGCGGGACCGTTATCTAGGTACGCCTCCCGCAAGAACGAAATGCAGCCGTGACCGCCGCTGCCCGCGTGCACCGTGATGCGCGCCTTGTCCGCGAAGGCTGATATCGCGTAGTCGTCCGGCGCCGGGTTGAGGCGCGAGGACGGAAGGGCGTCGCTCGAGGACGAGGGCTCGGTGCTACTCGAAGAGGAGGGGGCGGGGGAGCTAGATGAGTGCAGGGTTGTGGTCGTAATGCTCGCTCGGCCGATTATACGCGAGGAAGCGGATCGGAAGAGAGTCGGGTATAAGAATGGGAGGAATATGCCGGAGCCCGGCGAGCACCTAGGAGGCATCTTGGGTATCGATTGAAGCTATATTGAATTCATAGTCGTGGGTGAAATTTACAAAGCTGGGCCCTTCAGCTTCCAACTGGTTGGAGTTGGATAACCCGGATAACCCGACCGAACCCTCCTCTTTGGCTCATTTTCCCCGAAATGAAATTTTATCTAGTAGCGATAAGGTGGCGCGTTGTCGATAAGATAAGACTAGCGCTTTGTTTTAAGTTTTTGGTTTTAGCTCTAATGCCGGCTGCCGGCTTCGGCTAAAGGTGTGGTGGTAGGTCACATGGTCGACGGGACATCTTTTCCGGAATGGGGAAAGGGGAAGGCGGGATGTGGACGGGACCCAACCTCACACGACAGCGCAACACGCACAAAAAAAAAACCAAGCTAAAAAAAACCAACACATACACACAATGTATATGTATAAGTGCGAAATCACCAGAACACATCCAATCGAGGAGATTTTGCACACCTTAATATAGTACCGTTCAAAGACGTGTAGTTGCTCTGATCAGTCATCACGCTCTAATATAGTTGGTTCAGATGAGGACTTCACTGGACTGATAGGCGCCAATGGCTCATCTCAACCGGAGTCTCAAAAGCCGCTGGATGCGCTCGAAAGGCGGTGAGCCGATGCTAGGGCCAACAAGACGCCATTCTGCTGTACAACTTGGGGGTCCTAGCACAATGCGGGCAACTCGAGCTTGGCGACCAGCCAGTCAAATGGGACCATCTCGGAGCCTCAAACGCACTGTTCGAGATTGCGGGCCTTCTTCTTTTGTATCGAGCGAGCATCAGTGCATCAGTGATCAATGATCAGTGACGCTGCCACCGCTACTACCGCTGCCACGTTTGGAGTTGAGCTGACCCAAACAAAGCCTACAAGCTATGTACAAGCAAGCGCTTGAGGGATCGCCTCTCTCATTCTGTTGGTCGACATATATATAAATATATATATGAATGGTATTGCTATCACATAGTAGGGGTCTAATCCCATACATACAACAACCATCATCCATCCATCCGTCCATTCATCCATCCCTTCTATCATCAATCTCGACGTCCTCTCGTGATCGGTTGGTAACCTGTCGTCTTGCAATATATCTAGAATATACCTAGGGGTGAGAAACACATAAACACATAAACACCACCACCATCATCATCTTTTTTTTTTCTACATACGTGCCTAACAGCATAATAATAAATAATAACTATCGTACATTACATTTACATATACATTTACATATACATACACATACACATACACATATACATATACCTTTTACCTTACATACATCTACATCTACATCCCCCCCCCCCCCCGGTCACATCTTCTCTCCAACATTCGATTAGCTACTGGCTCGTGCAGCAACACCAGACCGGCCGGATTATGCAAACTCTCGATTGGGTTACTCTCATGCACACTGCATGCTACTAGTAATCCTGCCACCCATTCGAGCCACGACAGCTACATTTCCTCCTTGTGGCCAAACGTGGACATAACTGTCGTCCCCCCTCACGAACCTCCTTGCTCGCTAAGCTCGTCTTTGGGCTCCGCTGGGCTCTTCGTCTAGCATCTTCCCCACCAGCAATTGGCCTTCCCGGTTCCTTTTTTTGTGGGCTTGTCGATGCTGCAGGTAGGCTCTGCAAGTCCCAATCCCTAGCCTCTCTTCTCTATCTCTCTCACTCTCACTCTCTTGTGCGAGTCTTGCAGTCAGTCTTGCAGTCAGTCTTGCAGTCTTGCTAGTCCAAAGACAACAGTCTGTTACCAGCATCAGCCTCTCAAAACCTCACTATCTCACTTCCGCATAGGGGATCGACCCCCCGTTGATCCACCGACAGGTCTATTCCTCGCCTCTCCCGCCTCGGGTTCTTGGACTTTCTCTCGCTCTCCGCGTTCCCCACGCTCCATACAAGCGGTATCTTGCGCGCCCAGATATCGGTGTCATCGGAACGCAAACTGACTACGGTCCTCCTTATTTGCTGCCCTCAATTGACTATCGCGGCACTCAACAGGGCGGTCAGCCTTTGGCTCCTGCAGGCCAACTTTCTGAAGCTAGCCAGCCACTGACTGCTTCTCACTCTCGACCAATTCCCCCTCTTGCTCCCACGTTGTCCTGCTGCGACTCTGCGCATTGTCAAGCCTGCTGTGTTGTTTCTTCGCTATTGTTCATAATACAGGTCAGTCACTCCTTGTGCCTTCGCCCTGACCCCCGGTCCTTTTTTTCCCTTCCTTCTTCTTTTCCTCTTTTCCTCTTGTCATGGACCCTTCTCGGGTCGTCAAGTGAACAGCGTCATCGTACAATAATCCCATCTATACTCTACACCTCCGCCCATGTTCACCACTTTCTACATCCCGGCTTTCCTGCCCGCCACCTCCGGCTTCACGCCGCTAAGATGTATACCAGGGAACATAAACCCCGCAAGTCCATCATCAGAATGGACCCGGACTGTGCTATCTGCCACGCTCCTGCCAGCCTCGCCTGCGATTGCGAGGCTAAAGGGCTCGAGATTGCTGTCGAGCAAGCAGAGTCCCGCATGATGCAATCCGTATATAATGACGTACGGTAAGTGCTTCGTGTCTATCCCCAGGCGGCTCTAAGCCTTCGCGTAGCAACCTACTAAACCTGCACCAGTTCGTGGGTTCGGGCACACGCTCAGGACTACATACTCGAGTATTTCCGGCTGCTCACGGAACGACGCAAGGCTGCACATTCGCAACACCTTGAACGATTAACAGCCCACGCATACCACTACTACCACGCCCCCCCGCATCCCAACGAGATTGCCGCGGCCCAAGCGACTCTGAAGAGAGGAATCGACGAGGATTGGCAATCTAGCGTTCAGCGGTACCCAGAAGTGCTAGAATATTTTTACAGTTTGGTGGAATTGACCCTCCCACCCGATGACGAACCTGCAGTCAAAGACCCTCCGTTGAGTGCCTTAAGCGGATCACGGAAGGTTAGCAGACGGGGCGGTGCGTCAACGGCTACGGTGGCAGGGGATACCTTCCACGAGAGGGAGCGGGAACGGAACCCTCTTGCAAGAAGGACACCCCCGCCCCCTATGGACAGAATTGACAGGATAGATAGGAGGACGCCGGGACCGGTTGCGAACCCACTTGCACCGCCACCCGGCCCTCAAAGAAGGCATAGCACCTACCGGCCGCCGACCGCACCGCCGACTGCTTACTTCCAGACCTACTGACTTAAGTAGTAGTTGGAGTGATAGTTGGAAAATATGGTTAAGAGCTTATCTCATCTGGCCGGCCGTGACCTCGACACCTTTACGCCTGGACTATCCTACCCTTTCCGCCACTCTTGTAAAATCGGATCACAGCACAGCTTGCATATCTATCTATCTACACACGACATATTTTATTTCTTTGAATTAATTCAAAAAGAAGAACCAAACTATATTCATGAGACCACGAAAGCGCATCATGACTACCGTATCTGTTGCATGGATGGGAGGAGGGAAAACGTCCCAGATACCATTTCTTTTCTGCATAGCGGCGAGACATCTGCTCTTTTTGACAAACTGTTCACACAAGACACAACTCAACACATATTCTATTCATTTTGTTCTTGTTTTCCTTGAGGAGCTGGTTCTACTTCGACCTTGGGAGTCATTTCTAAGACGGGTGGCAATTTCTTCCCCGGGGATTCGATTGGGCGTACGGAGTGTTCCACGGGTATTGGTTGGACGAGCAAGGGCAAGGATCCGGCAAGCTTCATTTCTCACTTGCCTTTTGGTTGCTCACTTGTTTCACTTCTGTGATGTATTTGTTGTCCGTGCCCGCTGTCGGCACATAGGGACGGAGATTTTCTACCTGCGCGAGAGGGAGAGAGCGGAGCTACGATATACCTATCGACTTATCATCCAAGCAGAGCAGAGCGAGGTACTTTAGTCAAATCAATATACAACAAAGTTAATGAAACATTGTCTTAGTCAAATCATGGCTCGGAACGACCCACGGGTATGGGCGTTGGCAGGCAAACGCATGTGCGTTTCTTTCTTTTCTCTCGTTTCTCTTTTGCACTCGGGCTCGGCTTGGTAGGGTAGACAGACGTGGTCACCCTCCAGCCGGGCATCAAAAGCATCAGATCAGATCAGGTAGGGCACGGCAGTAGGAGTGAGTGAGTGAGTTTCGAGCTGCTTCTGCTTGCTGTAGCTGTAGCTTGCCGTTCAGTCACGCGTCTCGGTGCTCCCCCGCCCTATGGCGATGCGGCTGACACGTAGGCGACGGGAAGTGGGCGAGCCTTTTATATACATGTACGTACATATATACCTACCTACCTACCTTATATGTGATAAGCGGTCCCTGGCTCGGGATGTAAATTAGCGAGGGGGGAGAGGGGTGAGAAGGGGGGAGGGGTGTCAATGATGGAGCGAGCGAGCTTGCCGGGCTAGGGGACTTGATGCTGCGAGATGGAGATGCCTACCTACCTGATGGTAAGATAGATCGGTATAGATGCGGTTTCTTCTACTACTACACGACACCTTCGTGCCCTTGCTCGCCTGTATGAGCTGATATAACGTAATATTCGGCTCGCGAGCTACGAACAACCTGAATGTCTAGGTAGGTTATGTGTGTGTACTATCCGTATACGTACCTAACCTGCCTGTCTATCTACATACCTAAAGTCCATAGATATGAGTACGAGCATGTGAATGCATGCATACCTGCTAGACAAGCAGTCGTCGTAGACGTAGCGTATCTACCTACCTACCCACCTATCTATGTAAACATACATACATGAACATGCATACATATGTATATCCATCCACCCATCCACTCGCCCCATCTCCACAGGATCCGCATCTGCCGGGACGAAACAACACGAGCACCTGGACGATGGAGGAGGAGGGGGGGTCCCGACCCGACCCAATGTTTTTATGAGACATTGCCTTATGCACGACTAAGTCAGTCATCCCATTAAGCCAGCCACCCCTCCTCCTCATCCTCCTCCTCCCCAATCGCTCAATGTATGTATGTATGTATGTATCGGTGGTGGGAGAAACCCGGCAAGGGCGAATCAACAAACCTGTTCAGACCGAAAAAAAAAACACCCGAAAAAACAAAATAGATAAAATAGGGGCCCCCCGAGGATCACGTAATAGGGACAGCAGAGGATATGAGTATGAGACAAAGCTTGCGAAAGGCAGCTCGCCGAATGGGGGAACGGGTGTGCGTACGCATGTATGTATGTATGTAATTGAGGCTGCCCGGCCGATGCCGCTAGTTTGTTTGTTTGTTTGTTTGGTTGGTAATTTTACTATATTTTGTTTTTTATATATAGGTATACCTATGTAGAATATCTAGCGTATGCTGTTGTTGCTGCATACCAATATATATTAATTGCCTACATTGATATTGTCAGGCGGACTGCCTTCCATCAAGCTGGATAGACAGCACCATAACAATAGATAGGCGGGAACGAGTCACACAAGGCGGACGGTGATATACATGTATAATATGTGTGAGAGATGCGGGAATAGGGTAGCTAGGTAGGCGTTTGAATGCCGTGCTAAATACATGGTAATGATGCTGTGAAATCTAACCCTCGAAAATTTATTTTCCCTATAGCCAGCCAGCCAGCCCCCCCCCCTTTGTTCAGTTCATTCATTCCTCGTCCCACCCGAGAAGAAAACCAAAAACAGCAATTCCTTGTTCCTCTCTCAAACAGGAAATCGGGTTTAGATATTGCGTGGCGGTGGAGGCTTTTTTTCCTTTTCCCCGATCCGAGAATCCATTTAAATAACCTCGACTGACTGGTGGTTGGCAATCAATGGCGCGGTGGACTTCTAAGCCGACTTCTCCTCCAATGATGCCTCATTTAGATCCGACGTGACGGCTGCCACCTTGTCGTCAGATTTCTTGTCCCCATTGACACCGTTGGGGGTTGCGGTACCGGAAGCCTCAGCAGCCTCCTCGGCTTCTATCTTCTCAATTTCTTTCTTGGCCTTTTCGATGTTCTAAGTTTCGTTAGCGATATTCTAGAATGCAGACTCTTAAGAACGCAACTTACACGTTGAGTTTGGGCCTGTTGGTCAGACTTCCAATGCTCTAGCTTAGCCTTGACCTTCTCGACAGCAGCAGCAACGTCCTCAGCGCCCATAGGAGGGTTAATTCCCAAGAATGAGCAGTCATCGATAACAGAAGGGGGCAGGTTGAAGCCCTTTTCAGCATGGCCGGCCTTTTCGACGTGGCTGCTCTTCTTACCCTTCTTGCCCTTCTTCACCGCAGGTAGGTAATCATCGCCACGGTCTTCCTTTCGCACTAACCTAGTACCCTTTAAGCCCGAGTCGTCAACCTTACGCGAGGCTTGAGCGCTCAGACCGCTATCAGCTAGAAGAGGAGCCTTCTCGGCAGGGGCGGAGGACGGGTCGAAGTATTGCAGCAGACTGTTGGCTCTTCGGATCTCCTCGAGATAGGCAGGGTCGCTGGCCTCCTGGAGCAGCTTCTGCGCGCGCTCCTTCTTCTTCTCCTTCTCGATGCGCTCGCGCTCGGCCCTCTGTCGGTCTCGAGCTCGTTGGCGTGCTTCGCGCTCATACTCGCCAAAGGCTTTCTTCGCACTGTAGTACTCATCCTTAAGCTTACGTATAGCCTGGAACTTCTCCTGCTGCTCGGCCTGTAGCTTGCTTCGCTCGTCGCGCAGAGAATTCAGGTTCTTGAACGCTTCATCTTGCTCTGCCTTGATGGTATCAAGCTCAGCCTGGATCTTAGTGTATAGTTCGCTTAGCGCACGAGCTTCGGGGTCGTCCATGCTGTCCTTGATTTCCTTGATCTTAGCCTTCAGCTCGTCGATTCCCTTCTGCGAAGTGTCGAACTGGGCAAAGTTCTTGCGCTGCTTTCGGAGGTTAGATATCTCCGTTAGGGCCTTCTTCTCGTCGACCAATTTCATCATGCCGCCGTTGACCTGCTTCTCCAGATGCTCAATCTCGTGATCAAGATCCTCGACGCTCTTAAAGTTGACCTTGCCACGCGCATTCTTCTGCTCTGCGATCCGGGATCGCAGCTGTTCGTCGAGACGTTTGATCTGGTCCAGCTTGGTGTTGCGAGTGTTCTTGCCGGCGCCTTGCTTGTTGCGGATTTCATTGGCTTGAGCGATAAGCTCCTGGCGGCGCTTTTGGAGAGGAGACTGGGTGTCCTTGTTCTTGTTTCCCGTGACGAGCTCGACCTTTTGCTTAACAACATTCTATACTTTACTATTAATATCTATACATATGTCTATACACCTCTACCGTACTTCATTTTGGATGCGCAACTTACGTATCTAGCAAAAGAGTCCTGGTATTCCTTCTCGGCCTTAGCTAATTGTTCTTGGAAGAGCTCGGTATTGGGCTTCTCCGGCTTCTTGTTTTCGGCCGCCGGGGCGGGAGTGGGTGAAGCAGCTACCTCAGCCATGGTCGCTCTCTATAACGTAGGGGCGGGTTAGAGAATGAATGGAATAAGGTAAAACAACAAGGGTCGGAAAATGAGTCTTGATCTATTATATAAAAAGAAAGAGAGTAATGCCTAGGTAGGAAGATAGGTCATAAAAAAGTGACTGGCAAACCCAAGAGATACCAAGGGGAAAGGAGGCCAGATCTCAAGGTCCTAAAGGCCTGCCAGGTTCAGCAGAGGAATTTTTCGGAGTCGGACCACTAAGTTAGGTTAAAAAAAAAAAGTGATTTTGATTCAACAATGGACTTTAACCTAGTTGAATTTACTAGTGGCTGTGGCTGTATGTAGCGGGCTCGGTGGTCTGTGCACAGTGTTCTACTAATGTAACTGGAAGTGTAACCGAGATTCTCCCGTCACCCAACGTTCCACCAATCTGCTTACTAGGTACCATGTAGCCTTACTGTGTGACTACCTAGTGGGTTGCACCGATGCAAAGGTTAGGTACCTCTGGCTGCTCTGGCCACAATTGACAGGTACGTACCTTATCTGCATTAACCCCTGCAGATAAAGCTAGGCAGGTACAAAGTACCTTGGAATTTTTCATCTTCCCGTCGTAACGCAAGGCTGAACTTGAATTGTCTTTCTTTACTTGTCAATTCTTCAACTCTAGCATCCACCTCGTGAAAGCGTCGCGACTAACCATTTACACGAGCACTATCTCTAACCATTCGAACACCAACAACTATCTAAAGTCGCGTAGCTTCCACGATGTCGGACCAGGAAAACTCCCCTAATAACGAAGTAAACGAGAAGACCGCGGTCAAGACGTGGCGAGCATGGAGAACCGTTCATGAGATGGTCCAAGACCGAGTAAGAAAGCAATCATGGCCTTGATCACCCCTCAGCTCCTAACCCACGATCGCACAACCTGCTACGTATGCCGCGCAAACACGACATTTGTACTAATGCGCTACCAGGGATACGAACTCTCCGAGACAGAAGTCAACATCTCGCTAGACTCGTTCAAGAACGTCTACTGCAACATGGACGGCTCTGTCGTGTACGTATTCGAGAACACTAGGCAACCTATCTCCGATGAGAATAGCTAGCTAACCTACGCCTTGCCTTGCAAAGACGTTCAAAGCTCAAGTTCTCGGCGCGACCGAGCCCAGAGATGATGAAGAAACTAGCCTCTCCCACCACGCCATCGAGCTCGGAACCGAAGACCGAAGTTGGCACGATATGGGTAGAGTTCCACGACGAGGATTCGCTGGGAGCGGAGCACATGCGCAAGTTCGGCAAGTTCTGCGCGCAGGAGAACCACAGCACGGGGATCCTAGTATCGCACGTAGCCGTATCGGCCTCGGCCAAGAAGGAGATCGCCAAATTCGCCCAGTGGACCTCCATCGAGTGGTTCCTCGAGGAGGACCTTCTCATCAACATCACGCACCACGAGCTCGTGCCCCGTCACGTTCTCCTCAGTAGGGAGGAGAAGGTCGCCCTGCTCAAGCGCTACCGCCTCAAGGAGACACAGCTCCCTCGTATCCTGCAGAAGGACCCTGTCGCCAAGTACTTCGGCATGAAGCGCGGCCAAGTCGTCAAGATCATCCGCACCAGCGAGACGGCTGGTCGCTACGCCAGTTATAGACTGTGCGTATAAACCCGAACCCGAACCTACACCTACACCTACACCCCCCGTGGCTATCTCTAGGCAATAGCGGAAGAAGAAGAGAAGGAAGAAAGCTTTGCAAAATACCGGCGTCTACGAGCATGACTTGATTTGGCAGAGGCTGGCGTTTTTTGGTCTGCAGCTCGGGAGATCATTCTAATCTATCCCCGCAGCTACCCAGAGGTTGATTTTCTACTAATCGAGGAAGAGGGGAGGCTTCGCTCTTATTGCAGTTTGGACATAGAGCCGCTACACGAGAAAAAGGGAAATTGTAGTCTAGTAATTGAGAATGCCTGTCGAGCTTACTATGGTAAGTCCGTCTTAGATGTGGTTATCTCAGTGTTCTTATTACTGTTCTATCGCGAGTAATTAGATGTAGGCATATCAGAGATATTTATACCAAGGCTCCTCCGTTCTTTAACGATATGACTCTTTCGTGAGCGCTGCATTCGGTAAAATGCTTTCCTCCGGCCGAGTTTTCGGCTTTGCGTCTCCAGAGCTAGCGTGCAGCGCGCATGAGATGGAAGATAGGAAGATATATATCACCAAAGGTAAAGTTAAGTTAATAATAACAGAAATAAGAGTCTAACATAAGTCATAAGAGGGTTCAAGAGAACATATCAGGAACATAAATCATATCGATCCCCGACCAGGCAATGATTTAGAGGCATGAACCGTATCTATTATCTACCATCCATCAAAATTCCCTCTATGCATATTTCAGTTCCCCGAGAGGTATTATCACAAAATTTCCAAGAGAGGGCGATTAAGCATTGAAATATAAATCAGATGTATACCTAATCTAGCATCTATATGTCCTTATCTAGATTTTAACGTCTTATGAGAATAAGCGCATGGCGCTCGGGGGTATCTGGTACGAAGCAGCAAACGACGGCGAAAACACAGCAATAAAAGGCTCTGGTATGAACATGACCCCTTGCATTCTAGTACCAGAGCCTTTGATCCCCTCCCCCCCCCCCAGAGAATGCCTCGAGTGCCTATTTTGGTGCCCCCCATACACCTATCCAAACTCCGAAGGGACATCTGTAGCCCCGTATGCCCCTACTTATGCCATTGTGACAACCCCCCTATCCCAATCCAAAAAAACGCCAGCTAATCTAGTCTTGGTACCAGCTCAATTGGTTTTATAGAAAACGTATAATTAAATCTTCATTCGATCTCATGTCGTTTAAATCTTTCGCATATAAGGTCTGTATTTGTACAACGTATGGAATATTCCCAGCATCGACGTCGTAATATCATGATATGATATAGTTTAGTAGGTGAGTGAGAATATTCATGCTATTTCGTAAATTTCGTAAGCCGCGCACAGTCGTGCGTATTAGTATCTCGTCATGTACACCCCAGAGCCCTCCAGACGCTCTGGCAGGGTTAGCAAGCTGCTGTCTTCTTAAGATATCAAATTCTAGGATAGATGGATCCGTCAAGCAGGTAATTATTATGTCGGTGTCGTATAATCTAGTTGCGACGATGTTATGATATAGAGGGCGATGCGTAAGCTACGGCTGTTAACTTAAGTTGATTATTCGTTCTGCGGTGAATAATTGGAAAGTAGTTCCCAATCCCTGGATCCCAGCCGCGACTCCCTACCGTTCGATCACGGTAGTTGAATAGTCATAACGCAGATGGCTGCTGATTAAACTACTGCATAAAAATGATGCAACAGTTGTTGTTGAGAGGAAACCCTGAGAGTTGATCCGAATATTGAAAATCACTGTAACGAAGTCTTGCGGGAACTGCTACTCTTCGAATCTTTTTGGTCAATGACTGTGTCGTCTGAACTGCTCGGACTATTAACAGGATCGTGTAGTGCTTCTTGGGGATGCTGAGGTATTGATTCCAATTCAGTTCCAGTCTTGGAACTCGATCGAGATTGCCTGGGATTGAGAGGATTCAGAAGGCCACCTAAATCTTGTAAAATTACTTGGGAGCCGCGGCGGAAGCCATTGCTTGTTGCTTGCTTCGTGGATGAAGGGGAGCTTAGAGAAAGAGGAGACGGCGGTTCAAGGTTGGAGTTAAAGCTATCCCGTACACTTCGATCCGGCTCGCCATCGAGTAGCCCGCCAACGTCGAAGAAAGAAACTCTGCGGGGCGTTATGGCAGAGCTGCTTCGAGATGTAGTAATTTGATCCTTGTCCAGGAGATCAAGTGCTGCACTGCTTTGATGACGTTGAGGAAACTGCCAAGTATCCACAGCTAAGACAGGTCTGACCGGCTTTTCGGCTTGACTTTGTTGCCTTGCAGCATCCTGAAGTTCGCGATCTACACCAAGGCCCAAATCCCTCACTAGATCCTCATCACTACCCCAGTGCCTTTGATACGTAGGCCTGCGTTCGACCGAGTAGTCAACGGACTCAGCCGCTGTGGAGTTGTGTCTATATCTAGTCTTTTTCACGCCTCGATCCCGGACAAATGATCCGAGAACAAGCGTGTTAGCCGCAGCTGTAGCAAAAAGAAGTTCGACGGAAGCAAGCAGAGAGCGTAACTGCTGGTTTCCATGCGCGCGGATTATGCGAGGAATGCGATACCCCGTCATCGCTACGACCGTCAAGCTCACAGAAAACAATAATGTTAGTTGGACCTTCCTCTTAGTGCTCATATGGCTGGTGAGGATTATAGGAATCGGATAGAAAACGAGGAGAAGGTCGGTTAAGATGTTGCAAGTCGCCATCGTGATGAGTTGGGCAAATCCCTGGCGGCATTGGCCTCCAGGATCCGGCATAACTTGCCAATAGTGAACGAACGGATGACATTCCGTCAAATCTGCTATCAGAACAGCCACGAAGGTTGCAGCCAGAGTGACTCTTATGAAGATCAAGGTGATTTCGTGAGAACGGTTCCAGGTAATACTCGTTAGACGCTTGAAAAATTCAAGTATGGCGCTTTTAAGAGTCCAGAGCCTTGAGTCAACGATAAGTTAGCACACAAACGGTTTATGACAAGACGACTTGCTAAGTGAAGTAAACCAAGAAGAATTCGTTCGCTCTAAAGGACAAGGTACATACGTTGCCGCATAGAAGATCCGGCTAGCAAGCACCAAGCCACTAGCCACGGATTTCATATGCATCTCTTCGTCCGTCATCTCGTGCAAGTGTGCATTGTTAGTCCCGTAAATCAGGATAACGTGAACACATCCCATGCGCAGGTAGAGCGGAATGATAGCTAGCGCGGCCGTCTTGTCCTCCCTAAACAGCTTCTCAGATCGGATAAAACGACCGGCGATGCGTAATAGAATTATGACGGTGCAAAATAGCGTGATCCACCAGCAAACCAGAAGCGTCGGCTTGTCCTGGTCGGGAGAACGGAACGGCGGTGGCGACGAGTATAGGGGCATCTTGCCTCTACTCGAACTTGACCACGCTCGTCAACCTCCGTAGAGGGGACGAGCGGGGATAGATACGTTGTCTTCAGAGTACACCGATTGCAATAGAATCGCAACGGTGTTCACAATCGAAGCGGAGGGTCAGTCTAGCCCACCGGAACATGAGTTCGTCGACCACTGCAACAGCCGCAAGTCTTTCCTTTTCCTCCTCCTCGTTAATATCCAGACGAAAGGGGCCGTGTGGGAGTTGTTTGTTGTATTTCGAGAGAATACCCAATTTACGAAAAATTGGCTTAAAGGGATCCAGAGTATTGTTATATCACACTTATGACGACGAATAAGTGGACTGTGATCCTCTACCGACGACACTCGCATCAAGTCTACTAGACGATACATGGAATACGCAGTTATAACGATGCCGGTAGTGAACGTGAAATGTATATGACATCAGGGACCCTGGATCGCGCATCGTCGTAATTGTCGCGTTCGATATGGACAGATAGAAAACGAGAGGAAAACGAGCCTATGGATCTATGGGGGGGGGGGACTAGAGAAGTTGTAGTTTATGGTAGCATGGATGCCCACTGGGAGGAGGGATTTGGGGACGGGCTAAACGTTATCATGTACATCGTGTACATGGAACTACTAGGAGCTACTAGGAATTACTAGTTCATTATCCCACATGTACTGTATGTATTTAGCAGGGATACATGTCTAGTGTATGCACATAAGTGCAAGCGCAAAGTATATCCGCCACCACGGCTCAAGAGTCCTTACCTACCTATGTACGTACCTAGTGTAGGTGTAGAAAGATAACACTACTGTAGCTACCTACTGTAGGTTACCTAAGGTGCAAGGTGCATGTAGGATTGCTCGAGTTACAAGGGGCTATGTGCCTTGTACGTTTATGTGTTACTTATACTACACTAGAATTCAACCTTAACTAGGATCCTTATTAGATGGGATCTGTCAAGCCCAAGATTTGCGGCCATCATTTTCCGTACGCAGATGTTTACCTATATCTATCTAATATCTAATACTTCGGAAATATGCACGATGACCTCGGCCAGATAAAGTGTGTGTGTGCGATGAAATACAACGTCTAACGTAGGTACTGTGTGCACGTACATATGTTGTGCCAGCACACCATTTCCGTGTCCGTATCGAGAGGAAGGGCGATTGCAGTTCGATGGAGTCGATCGATATAGTTGATAGCGTACCTACCTAGATATCAAACAAACTTATCGAGGTGCTGTTATCCTATTGGCGTACTAATACTAACGGGTTCAAAAGTCCGCAAGTGCCGTTTTCAATATTATAGCGCGCCAATCCTTCTCACCCTCATCCTAGCCATCATGAAGCGTTCGACGCCGTTACCCGTCACAGAGTTTGATTTGCTAGGCATTATTCTGTCACCTCGGCGCGCAAAGTAGAGAGGTTGGGTTAGCGGTAGGTATCACGATCAAATAGATATGCTATTAGACCCATGTGCGATGCGGGCAGGGCGCGGGGCCTACATAGTACCAACATGTAACGTACATCCCGTATGCCGTCCCCACGCTTTTCCTAGCGCTAATACGATGTCCAAATTAGTGTGATTACATAGGTACCTAGGTAGCTTAGTACAAATTCGTTAAGCGAGGTTTTCTAGTCGGAAGCGTGCGACAATTGGTTCACGCGAGCACTGGGTTAAGCTTGTCTACCTGTATAGTGTATGTATGTGGTAGGTGAACCACAGGAAGTCGGACGATAGGATTTCGAACACCACGTCCACTATTGCACGTCCACTATTGGACCCGAAGACATGGGCCAAGTCTGTGCACACGTACATGCCATGTAAGGTAGATAAGCAAAACGTTTGCTAGGAGCCACTACTTCGGGACTTATCTATTCTTATGCCCATCTTAAAGTTAGCGGAACAAATCCCAAAAGGAATAATCGTCTGATCTGTCCTTAATGTTCCAACGCCTAGATAATGGTATGATAGGTACGTATACATCAATAGACCATGCCGATGATTTACTACCCGATTGGTATAAATTCCAATTGAACAAATATTTCAATACTCTAGACCGCTAT